TGATGGTACTATTGAAGGCACACGGTTTTTTTCAAATTTTATCCTGTTACTGATAGATATTTAATAGAAAAAAAATTGGGAAGTGTTAAATATTAAGTAAGTAATGTAAATAATTCGTCTGAGGAAGAGGGATGGAGCCTCCATCATGAAGGTGGAATTACAAAGGATAAATATGTACTTGATAATTTACTTACTTTGTGTCGCACAAATTGTGTGGTGTTTTGGTTATTTCATATTTTGATAACGAACGGCGACTTGTTTAATATTGGGCACCAGAACACAATCAATGGCTGTCCGTGACCATGTGTTATTCGGTTGAGGTGGTTGAATTAAACCGCACCGCGGGGCAACAGGAGACGTCCAATTAATTATTACCTAAATAAACATATTTGCTGCACGTCCGATAAATCGTCGATGCCCATTTAAGTAAGTTACTTAAATTAAGCAATAAATCATATGCAAAAATTAATGCTGATTTGTAATTAGGTGTATCGATACGTAATGCACGTGCCGTATTCTATTTGGAACAAAGCACTTTTATTTTTCATCAAAAAATCATCCAAAGTTATACACATTTTATGCACATATTTAAATGTGTGAACATATTAATTTTTACACTCTAATTTTGCCCGACATAATATCCTCATACATTTCCTGATCCATTCGAAGATATTTTTTCCCGTTGAAGAAGTAGACGGGATCGGGAACAAGGTTTATGTTGAAGGCTTCCTTCTGGTATTCGTTCTTCTTCAGTTTTTAAGTCCCTGAATTTGGTTATAAATATTTAATGATGGCGAGAAATATTAAAATATTTAAGATATATATATAAGATATATATAATATATATAAGATAATCCGTAAACTAATTTAAAAGGGGTGTGCATGAAGGGAAACCATTGGAATTTTGTGGGAAATGTTGGCTCACAAACAATTTCCTTCATATAATTTTGTGCATTATCTGCTTTGCAAAGTTGTATACTCTTAAAAACAAGGATGCCCTTTTGAACAGTACATGAATAGGCTCTAAAATTTAGAGTCTAAATTAACTAAACTATACTAAATCCTGAGTAACGCTGACTTTATATATAATTAATTTACGTAGAGTAATTTACTCTTTATTCTGAGCAAACTTTAAGTTTGCTAAGAATTTGGCATAATTTACTTAAAGCTGCCTGGGACGCAGGCACAAAAATAATTTCTTAAGTATGATGTTAAGGGCTCATTTTTGGACAGAATTGAAAATGAATCGGTAAATATGTGGGGAATGGGTTTCTCCACAGAATTACCGATCCGTTTTCCATTCTCTCCAAAAATGAACCCTTAACATCATTTTTTAGACATTCACTGTCCCAGGCCCGGTTAATATAGAATTGCAAAGTGCATTCATTTTTTAGAAGGGCGACACTATAATCCTAAGTTTTTGGTTTTCTGGACACCCACCCACCCCCTTTAACATGTGTCACATAGGCACGATATCATTGGGCCCACCCCTCTTTGCGTTACGAAGTTTACGAACGTCCCCTAATAGTGGATTTTCGTACATACAGTCGATTTATTTGTGCTATTATGAATGTTTTGGGTAATGGGTCCCCCTGGTTTTGCCGCTGTTTCATTTCGTCCGTAAGTTAACCTGGTGGCGGGCGGATTTCAAATTCAAACAGGGGGCCCATTACCCAAAAAACGCATAATATATATGTATAGTCCATTCATATCCATTCATGTATGACATCGCTCCTTCATATGAAATTAAACGTACGCAATATTGGGGCACTTTGCGTCACTTTCTTCATCTAGGGTAAGTTTTTCCTATTACTTTATGATAGGGTAGGGTGATTTACGAAATATGCAGTTAATAAAAATTTTACTTGTCGAAGAGTAAACGTCTTTTCTAACTGTGTGCACTTTTAAAATTATATAAATAGTAATTACTTGTTCAAAATTGTCCTGTCAATTGAAATTTGACTTTATTGGCCCCCCGTAGGCTAGTAATGAAAGAAGATTTAAAATTTAAAAACTACACCCTCAGGGGGTGTGGTTCTTGGCGCCAAATATAAGGTGAATCAAATCCTGACTTTTGTTTCTCTTCTCACCGCCATGAGGCAATTACCAAAGATTATTAAAAATTTAAAAACCACACCCTTAGTGGGTGTGGTTCTCGGCGCCTATTTTGCTCTAAATAAAACATGGCATGCAATATATCATTTTTGTCAGCCCTACAATCGATATTCGACGGTACACACAAAATTTTAAAACCAAAACTTTCAGGGGGAGTGGTTCTTAAATTTAAAATTGAATTTTGACTTGATTACGCCCCCAAAGTTTCCAAAATTGAACTTTGACTTTGTTACACCTTCAAACATTCCAAAAATGAGGTTTGACTTTGTTACACCCCCAAAGTTTCCAAAATTGAACTTTGACTTGGTTACACCCCCAAAGTTTCTAAAATTCAATTTTGGAAACTTTGGGAGTGTACCCAAGTCAAACTTCAATTTTGGAAACTTTGGGGTGTAACCAAATCAAAATTCAATTTTGGAAACTTTGGGGGTGTAACAAAGTCAAACTTCATTTTTGGAAAGTTTGGGGGCGTAATCAAGTCGAACTTCAATTTTGTAAACTTTGGGGGTGTAACCAAGTCAAAATTCAATTTTGGAAATTTTGGGGGTGTAACCAAGTCAAAATTCATTTTTGTAAACTTTTGGGGTGTAACCAAGTAGAACTTCAATTTGGAAAACAATGGGGGTGTAACCAAGTCAAAATTCAATTTTGGAAACTTTGGGGGTGTAACCAAGTCAAAATTTAATTTTGGAAACTTTAGGGGTGTAACCAAGTCACAATTCATTTTTGGAAACTTTTGGGGTGTAACCAAGTAGAACTTCAATTTGGAAAACTTTGGGGGTGTAACCAAGTCAAAATTCAATTTTGGAAACTTTGGGGGTGTAACCAAGTCAAAATTCTATTTTGAATTTAAGAACCACTCCCCCTGAAAGTTTGGTCTTAAAATTTTGTGTGTACCGTCGAATATCGATTGTAGGGCTGACAAAAATGATATATTGCATGCCATGTTTTATTTAGAGCAAAATAGGCGCCGAGAACCACACCCACTAAGGGTGTGGTTTTTAAATTTTTAATAATCTTTGGTAATTGCCTCATGGCGGTGAGAAGAGAAACAAAAGTCAGGATTTGATTCACCTTATATTTGGCGCCAAGAACCACACCCCCTGAGGGTGTAGTTTTTAAATTTTAAATCTTCTTTCATTACTAGCCTACGGGGGGCCAATAAAGTCAAATTTCAATTGACAGGACAATTTTGAACAAGTAATTACTATTTATATAATTTTAAAAGTGCACTTACGTCTTTTTAAAATTAAACATCGACTGCACTTACGTCTTTTTAAAATTAAACATCGACTGCACTCAGCGCCGTAGCGACGGTGGAGAGAGGTGGAGAGACACTGTCCAGGCCGTACCGCCGGGGTCAACAATATAGTACACTAGGTAAAATCAGGGTCAGAAATAAAGTACACTAGGTAAAATCAGGGTCAGAAATAAAGTACACTAGGTAAAATCAGTGTCAGCAATAAAGTACACTAGGTAAAATCAGGGTCAACAATACAGTACACTAGGTAAAATCAGAGTCAGAAATAAAGTACACTAGGTAAAATCAGGGTCAGAAATAAAGTACACTAGGTAAAATCAGGGTCAGAAATAAAGTACACTAGGTAAAATCAGTGTCAGCAATAAAGTACACTAGGTAAAATCAGGGTCAACAATATAGTACACTAGGTAAAATCAGGGTCAGAAATAAAGTACACTAGGTAAAATCAGGGTCAGAAATAAAGTACACTAGGTAAAATCAGTGTCAGCAATAATGTACACTAGGTAAAATCAGGGATTCAATAATTTACTCCAAATTATAAATTAGGTAAACTATCCTAAATCCACAATAGACTTTAAGTTAACGTAACTTTTGATTTTACAAATAGTTTATTTAATATATATGTAATTGAGACTGCATTATCTTAAAAATAACAGAACAACATTACTTTTAAGAGTGTCTGTAAATATATGGTTAATAATTATTAATTATATGTAAATGCGACTGCAAATTTACCCACCTTATCAGCCGCGTTGACAATCTCGCCGTAAAATTGGCCCCATTTATCATCAAGTTCTCCAGTGTAGACGAACTTTAGCAAGATTTTGAGCGCGTCGCCCCCCATGTCGACCAGCTCGACGACGCCGTCCGTCTTCTCCTTCATCTCGGCGGCGAACATGGCGGCAAAGACGGCGCTGTACATGGAGAGCAGAAACCTGTGCGCCGCGACGCGCTGTCCATCCCGCGTCACAAAGGTCACATCCGACCGCTCCCCGCTTTCCAACATGGCAAGCGTAATCTCCTTGTGGCTCCTGGCGCTAAGGGCTTGCTCCCTCGCCATCAGAGATAAACCCACGTCCGAAATAGCGACTCTGTGTTTCCCAAAGAGCTCAAATTTGATTATCAACTTTAACGGGCGGTTGTCACAGCGCTTCGAAACTGAGCCCAGCGTCAAATTCCAGTTATGGCCGAATATCAATTTCCATCAAAATTTTGTTTCCTCTCGAGTTCGTCATTTAATATAAATAAAAGTAGCATATCAATTCCTTAAAGGGCCTTGCTCCCTTGTTGCCCAACTATCAATAGTTATAATTCAACAAATTTCACATTTTTGAGTGCACATTTAATATCGGTATAAGAATGACAAGGTCAAGACATTGCATTTTTTCCTGATTCGTCTCAACTTGTCATAGAGTATGCGTGGTGGGAAGCCACCACCACACATACTCTTCCCACTGGAAACCACTAAAAACATAAACAATGCCAGATGATATTTGCAGTTTTTTTGCAAAAAATTCAAAATTCCCACCGAAACTTGTGAACTTTATACCCCACCGAGTTCGTCAGTTTCGCCACTATGTGATTTATGAGGATTGGTTTAACCTAAAATATAGTCAACTCTTAATACATATCATCGATAGTATCGATTCGATACGTACATATTTATTACAATAATGAAAAAATTACAAGTGATTCGTTGCAATTAATTATGTCATATGCAGACACGTAGATTAACGTTCGTCATAACAATTGTCCACAAAGTTTGATTAAATTGGTCTCAAGAATTATGCAAATGCATTGACGACGCTGAGAAGTTGATTTGTCAAGTGAAACAATTTTCCCGGGTCACTGCATACAAAACAATTAACAACTGATTATTCATCATTCTGCAAAATGTCTCGAAATTGAAAAATATTTGTCTACAAAATATTTACCTTCTCATAAATTTTTCAATCCCCTCCTTCGCACCGGCCATACCGTGCAATTCGGTCAGTTTCAACAGCTCGACGCAGTTTTCCCATGAGACGAGTGTCGGAAGAAGCTTATCACAAATATTGGTCAAGGATGTGAGTTGATACTATAAATAAAAAATGTATGAATTCCAGATACTATGAAAATCATGTTTTCAGGAAATCTAATTTAGTCGTCGTTAATGCACCCTAAAAAGTAATGTTGCCCTTTTAAAAAGTAAATACGCTCATAATTCATTTCAATAGTAAAGTTTAATCTGAATTTTGAATATTTAGTTTCCTAATTGTGGAATTCAGAGCGCATTTCCTGTTCACAGTATTTTTATGAGTGCCAATATGGTTTATAATTGCATAATATGCATGGACATATTAGATACATGGGGCAGCCATGGACATATAACTTATAACTTATAATTATGACGTATGACTTATTTTATAAGTTATAAGTCATAGAAACGCCATAAGGCGACGTATATTTATAATTATAAGTTAAGTTATACGTCATAATTTTAAGTTATATGTCCATGGCTGCCCCATGTATCTATTATGTGCATGAAAATTTACCCACCTTTTCCGCCGCGTTGATAATCTCACCGTAAAATTGGCCCCATTTATCATCCAGTTCTCCAATGTAGACGAACTTTAACAAGATTTTGAGCGCGTCGCCCCCCATGTCGACCAGCTCGACGACGCCGTCCGTCTTCTCCTTCATCTCGGCGGCGAACATGGCGGCAAAGACGGCGCTGTGCATGGAGAGGATCAGCCTGTGCGCCGGGACGCGTTGTTCATCCCGCGTCACAAAGGTCACATCGGACCGCTCCCCGCTTTCCAGCATGGCAAGCGCGACCTCCTTGTGGCGTCTGGCGCTAAGGGCTTGCTCCCTCGCCATCAAAGAAGCTGGCGACGACCCATCCTCGTCCGAAATAGTGAATCGGTGTTTCCCAAACATCTCGAACTTGATCATCAATTTTAACCCGGGGGTGGAAAACTCCTTAAAAATTGAGCCGAGCGTATACCTCTGCGGAAACCTACTGGTAGAGGTCAAGTCAGCATCAGAAACAAAATTGCATTTCATACGCTCCTTGCCTGCGGTGAAGTTGGAAAATTCAATGTCTATGTAGGAATTGTGTAAAATTAAAATTTGGTTATCTCATCATGAACTATTTATTATTTTTCTACTCTTACGACATCCATATCTGGAAGAACTGCTCGGCTCGATGCAAACTTTCAGGGTGACGGGGAGCCTGTCAGTACCGGTGTATTCGACCAATTGGAAGAATAGTGCGATGAACAGGGGACCCTTAGTGTTGTCGGGGGCAAGGAAAAGTTTCCATTTCGAGACTCTGTCGATGCTGGAGCCGACCGTGAAGGGGAAAACGTGCATTTCCGTCATATTCGGATTAGTAGCGAGGAGCTGCAGATCTTCAATGTTCCAGATAAATTCGTTGACCTCCTTGTCCACCTGGACAAAAAATGAGAAAAAAAGAGGATGAGTTACACGTTAAAACGCGCTACAAAATTGACCGGAAGTTACTCACGTACGACTTGGCGACCAATGACATGATGGTACTATTGAAGGCACACGGTTTTTTTCAAATTTTATCCTGTTACTGATAGATATTTAATAGAAAAAAAATTGGGAAGTGTTAAATATTAAGTAAGTAATGTAAATAATTCGTCTGAGGAAGAGGGATGGAGCCTCCATCATGAAGGTGGAATTACAAAGGATAAATATGTACTTGATAATTTACTTACTTTGTGTCGCACAAATTGTGTGGTGTTTTGGTTATTTCATATTTTGATAACGAACGGCGACTTGTTTAATATTGGGCACCAGAACACAATCAATGGCTGTCCGTGACCATGTGTTATTCGGTTGAGGTGGTTGAATTAAACCGCACCGCGGGGCAACAGGAGACGTCCAATTAATTATTACCTAAATAAACATATTTGCTGCACGTCCGATAAATCGTCGATGCCCATTTAAGTAAGTTACTTAAATTAAGCAATAAATCATATGCAAAAATTAATGCTGATTTGTAATTAGGTGTATCGATACGTAATGCACGTGCCGTATTCTATTTGGAACAAAGCACTTTTATTTTTCATCAAAAAATCATCCAAAGTTATACACATTTTATGCACATATTTAAATGTGTGAACATATTAATTTTTACACTCTAATTTTGCCCGACATAATATCCTCATACATTTCCTGATCCATTCGAAGATATTTTTTCCCGTTGAAGAAGTAGACGGGATCGGGAACAAGGTTTATGTTGAAGGCTTCCTTCTGGTATTCGTTCTTCTTCAGTTTTTAAGTCCCTGAATTTGGTTATAAATATTTAATGATGGCGAGAAATATTAAAATATTTAAGATATATATATAAGATATATATAATATATATAAGATAATCCGTAAACTAATTTAAAAGGGGTGTGCATGAAGGGAAACCATTGGAATTTTGTGGGAAATGTTGGCTCACAAACAATTTCCTTCATATAATTTTGTGCATTATCTGCTTTGCAAAGTTGTATACTCTTAAAAACAAGGATGCCCTTTTGAACAGTACATGAATAGGCTCTAAAATTTAGAGTCTAAATTAACTAAACTATACTAAATCCTGAGTAACGCTGACTTTATATATAATTAATTTACGTAGAGTAATTTACTCTTTATTCTGAGCAAACTTTAAGTTTGCTAAGAATTTGGCATAATTTACTTAAAGCTGCCTGGGACGCAGGCACAAAAATAATTTCTTAAGTATGATGTTAAGGGCTCATTTTTGGACAGAATTGAAAATGAATCGGTAAATATGTGGGGAATGGGTTTCTCCACAGAATTACCGATCCGTTTTCCATTCTCTCCAAAAATGAACCCTTAACATCATTTTTTAGACATTCACTGTCCCAGGCCCGGTTAATATAGAATTGCAAAGTGCATTCATTTTTTAGAAGGGCGACACTATAATCCTAAGTTTTTGGTTTTCTGGACACCCACCCACCCCCTTTAACATGTGTCACATAGGCACGATATCATTGGGCCCACCCCTCTTTGCGTTACGAAGTTTACGAACGTCCCCTAATAGTGGATTTTCGTACATACAGTCGATTTATTTGTGCTATTATGAATGTTTTGGGTAATGGGTCCCCCTGGTTTTGCCGCTGTTTCATTTCGTCCGTAAGTTAACCTGGTGGCGGGCGGATTTCAAATTCAAACAGGGGGCCCATTACCCAAAAAACGCATAATATATATGTATAGTCCATTCATGTTTTGAATTTGAAGCATTGGTTAGAGACGTAGGATTTATTCAACATGGAAAGCCCGTATCGCCAAAAATGGGCATAATGAGATTTATGCAAATGAGATGTACCACGTTATTGTACTTCAGACATACCTGTGCAGCTTCACTCAATTTAGGGAAATTGAGGCTTCATTCACGATGAGGGAGTGAAGGAGAGTGAAGCTGAGTGAGGGAGTTGAAAAATTTGATCGAGTGAGTGAAGGTGAGTGAGGGAAGCTGAGACGAGAAATGAGTGGAATGAAGGGTGAAGGAGTGAAGGAGATGAAGGCTTCATCTTTTTCACTCCTTCGTCTCCGGGGAAGAAGGGCGAAGTAATATAGGGTAGATAATTAGTTTACATACTGAAGTTACCGTGGGCATATGAAAATAGTGAGTCTCATTTCACCCCAGGAAATTCTCGCGTTGCCCCAGTCTCGTGCTACATTACCCAAGCCCAGTCTCACATTGCTCCAGCTTAGTCTCACATTGCCCCAGTCCAGTCTCACATTGCCCCAGCCCAGTCTCACATTGCCCCAGCCCAGTCTCACATTGCCCCAGCCCAGTCTCACATTGCCCCAGCCTATTCTCACATTGCCCCACTAGATGGCGCCAAAATGTTTAAGTTATGACGACACGAGGGATTTAATTGAATGAAAGAAAGAGTGAGGAAAATAGCTGAGTGAGGGGAATGAGTGAGTGAGAGTGAGTGAAGGAGTGAAGGGAATGAAGGAGTGAGAATCAGATTTGTCAGTGAGTGAAGCCTCACCCAGCCTTCCTTCACGCGAGTGAGGGGAGTGAAGGGCAACTTGGCTCGATGTGAAAATGAGTGAAGATAAATTCACTTGCACAGGTATGACTTCAGATAAAGATTTCAAACACACTACACATGTCTTATCAAAGCAATTCTCTTTTACCTGTGAGGACCAACTCGGTGGAAAGGACGCGGACGAAAAGTGGTCTCGCGTACGCCGGGAGCCCTTTAATCACCCCGTTCGCCAGTTCTTTCATGTCCAGCGTGTTTTCTGGGTCGGACATGACCGCCATGCCGGCACGCCCATCCGCGCCAGGAATTTCCACGCCAAACACGACCGTCCCCTTGAGACCGCTTATCGTGCTGATGATCGACTCCACCTCAGCCGTGGAACAATTCTCACCTAATAATTTTAATATTCAGCAATAACGTACTGGACTTTTCTCAAAATTTTAACTAATATTTTTCAGAAATTATAAATTGTAAAAAAATTTCAACCTGGCCGTAAAATTTACATTATTTTTTTTAATCTAGCATCCAGGCCAATATTTTTACCAAAAACTGAAACTATTGGATGGAAGTTATTTAACATAATTCGTGTAAATTCTGGAGACAAAGCTTTTCATTAACATATGTTTTTGCTCAAAGGAAAAATTTATAACTTGTTGATTAGTAATTAGGTCAATTAAATTATTAATCATTGTCACCTTTCCACCTAAAAGTGTCCCCTTTTCTGTCTTGGAAGTAGAAATATCCGAGATTATCTTGAATCAAAACGTCGCCCGATCTAAACCACGAGTCTCCTTTGCGAAACGCATCCACCATAATTTTCCCTCTCGTTGACGTCTTATCCGCGTATCTACGCATGTAAAGGGTGGGCTTAAAGTTTCTGAAAAAAATTAACTTCAAAACATAAGTAGTCAAAACTTTTTATTGCGTGTATAGAATATTATAATTTTTTGTACGATTATTAACTAATATTTAGAGTGTCCGCCACCAGCTTCCAACATTTGTTCAATGCGTGAATTGAATGACTGTGCCAAATTTTCCAAAACGGTAACCGGAATGCTTTCCCACTCATGTTGAAATCTTCTGAATAGCTCAGCGGTTTTGGTTGGATATGGCGGTTTGTACGCAGAATCCTTAACAATGATTCATAAATTCTCCAGAGGATTCAAATCTGGTGAATTTCCGGGCCACACCCCTTTCCCCCACACTGTCAAAAGGAGCGCCTCCAAAACTTTGGTGGTCACTTTTGCAGTGTGTGCTGGTGCTCCATCTTGCTGAAAGGTGACCTTCTGTTGTTGGGGGAATAAAGTTGGGTCCTTCATGGATTTAATGTAAAGTGGGAGGATCTTGTCTTTGTAGTATGCAGCGTTTACGGTACCTCCACTTACCATATGCAGCTTTGTAACTCCTTGAGCACAGAAGCCACCAGCTACCATAACTTTTAGACCAAGTTTTGGGGTCAATATTTTCGGGATTTTTTTCGGATCAGCTGTATAGTATCTTTGATTTTGTCTGTTACCAGTTGGTGACACCTCCAGCCAGGTTTCATCAGTGAAAAGAATGTGAGAGCGTTTCTGCTGCGCCCGTCTGTCGTCACCCAAGTATCCCGTTCTCTTGACTGTTTCGCCGAATTTTAATCGGTCCTGAATATTTTTTTGAGTCAGAATCTGTTTCTTAGGTCTTTTGTAAGCCGTTTTGCCCCATTTTTGCTTTTTTGCGTAATTTCGAACCGCAGCACGACTTATTTTCTTCCCCTTCTTTTGATACCTCGCCGACTCGTTCAGCTTCTTTAGTGTTTTCCTCACGGATCCACCAATTTTCTCTTTCAAATTTCTTGTTATTTGCGATTTTGAAGTAGGGGAGAATGCTGTGGGTCGGCCTGACCTTTTTTTGTCCACCACGGTACGGCGACCTTCCCACAGTTTGACCGTATTGTAAGCAACTCCTAGTTTCCTCGAAATTTGGGAGGCACCATATCCCTCGCTCAATAGAGTTTGAATCTGCACCCTTTTCTCTTCTCGACTCCTCATATTGTTGGACTACAAGGGGAAAAAAACTTTGTTTACATGACTCTGCTGGTTTCCGAATAATATTGATTTTTATGTGCACCGTAGTCGCAGCCAGCATTAAGTATCTCGAGTGTTTAATCGAAGCAGCTGAATAAATTAAATTTCAATGGCATTCTCATAATTTTCATTTTTAGACAGCGAAGGAAAACCGTCATGTATGAATATTTGTGCCAAAAAAAATTTAATCTCGATTAAAATAGTCAAATTTTCTAATCTCTCTGAATTTCAAGATGCTGAATTAAATAGTTTGACTAGATTCAAGGCCCGATATACTCAATATTTTGAGGTAAAGTCGATTAAACAATGATTAATTAGGCTTATCAAAATAATTTGCCTAACACCCGTGACCCCTGACCTTTTGGAAGCCCTGTCGTCCCAGAAGTGAAAATGAACATGGCCACATCTCCAAATCCGATGGTTTCCTTCACAATCGGACACGTAGGGTTCACATCGGCCAAGATTTCGTTCAGGCTTTTGAAGGAATCGTAGAACGTCATGGGGATGGATGTGCCCCCCTCGAGGAATGTGTAAAGGGTTGGACCACCCTCCAACTGACCTCCACATTCGGCCAGTAATTCATTCATCGCTAGACCAAAAACATAGGATAAAAATTGGATTTTGAACGGATCCTTAAACATTTTTAATTACTTACCATCAACAAGATCTAAAGTAAATATGACCGCTTTACAGTTAACGGATTCGATACAATGCTTTAACGGGGTTAAGCGAAGGTTCGTATTTATAAGAGCCCCAATCACGCCAATCTAGAAAAAATAAATTCGTTAACACGAGTCAATCTAGGACCCAAAAATTTTACGTTAGGTATGTAAATGAACTCTAAATTCTATTCATACTAAGGACATCCTAAGTAAATACATACAATATACCAAATTCTGGGTAAACCTTGCGTACCCTTTATCAAGTTAACGTAGCTATGAATTCAGTTTATTTTAATTAATAGAGTGTATTTGCTGCTTAGAGGGGTAAAATTATTTTTGGGAGTGTAAGAATTTGGAAAATTAAATATTTTACCCGACTGAGACCCAGCCAAATTGGAACATATTCGGCACAATTCGTCATAAATATTCCTACTCGATCACCTTTCTTGTAACCTTGTGAGGCAAAATAATTCGCGATCCAATAACTTAATTCTTGCACCTGACATAATTGAACAATTAAAATAAGCTCATTGGAGTAATAAAACTCGTTACATTGTTTATTTACATACGTACCTCCTTTGCCGACATTTTAAAATCATTAAACTGAAAAAGTATTTTATTCCGGTTGTTTTTCTCAGTTTCATCAAATGCTTGAAATATTGTGTAGTTTCCATTCTGAAAACGTCTCAGATTTCTTTTCAATAAGAACAAAGTTGGAAGTGCGCTATAATGGTGGATAAAAATATGCAAAATTAAATTCATGCATTTATTCCGCACCTTTTTTCATATTTTTTCACAGATCTTTACAAACATAACTTGTGCTTAATTTCACAAATTTCACAAATATTTTATTTTTAACACGATTAAATTTGTACAACTTTTTGGGGAAATTAATACAATTGTCAAAAATAACTTAATTGATATTCAATAGAAATATACAGTCAATCCAACAAGTATTGGCAACCCCCACGGAAGCTAAATATGATTGGCTATAACTTTTGAATGGATTATCCAATTAGCCTGAAATTTTGCATACATTTGACAAATCTAATGTGGTATTCGATGATAATAATCCTTTGTTGATTAAAATTAGATTGGCACGGTTTTTATATAATTTGTTGGAAAATTTGCGAAATTAACCCACAAAAAGTATTGGAAACCCTTAACTTAAAAAAATCATAATCAAAGACACTGCAATTTTGTTTCGGTAAACTGCGACTAGTACAGCGCACCACCTCCCCTCGACGCAATAAGAGCAAAAATCCGCCTTGGAATTGACTCGACCAGTTTCTTTCTAACGCTTTTTCATACTGCTTCCCAATCTTCTTTCGAACTTTTGACAAGCTCGTTTTTCGACGAGTGATTTCCCAGCAGTCGCTCTTATCTCAACCCGGACAATAAGAATCACATCGGGAGACTGTGCAGCCAACGAAAGATGCTGAAATTTTCGGTCTCCAAAAATGTGCATCGTTAATTTGGATGCATGTTTGGGGCCACTGCAATTTTGGAATATGAAATTCCTTCCTGAGTCATGTTTTTGTCAAATCTTTTCAAATTATCGTTTCGAATGATTACCTAGACCCCCCTGGTCAGGATTTCACCGATAATGACCACATAAGTACGCCGCGACCTGGTCATTTAACCCCAAACCATAATCGCTCCTCCTCTGTGTTTAACTGCTATATGCACATATTCGTTTTTCTGAGCCTTTTAATGCATCCGGCAGACTTGAACCCTTTAATTAGCTCCGAATAGGTAAAATGAGCTTATGTGAGACCATCAGCTCCTTTTTCATTCATTGGAATTCTGTTAATGATGGTATTTAGCCCGTTCAAATTTATTGAGTTGGTTCGCGTTGGGTACCTTCCCGCCTGTCGGGATACTGGACCCTGAAACCCCATGGCATGATTTTTGATTGATCACCAAATTGCATGCTATGTTGACCCCACATTCCGTACTCAAATTCAACATGGTTATGGGAGCTGAAATCTCCCGATCTTGAGTGATAATTTGCTTGATTAATCCATTGATTTTAGGATTAGGAGGCATTTTTAGCCGGATCATAGGAAACCACGAACTGAAATAATTGCTTCATGTTCTTTGGATACGTTTCCAATAGTAAATATCACGGAGCATGTTTTCTGTCTGAGTTATCGATATAAAAGCTTGATTTTGAAGGAGGCAAGATTATTCCTCGCTCCGCCAAAAATAGCCCGTTTGGTGTCGACATTTTGGCTCTAGGCAATACCAATCTGGACTTACGAAGCAGATAAAGTAAAATTCTTTGATCTGATTAACTTACCTTGACAAGACGCAGAGGTTTGTCGTTATAAAAATTTCGTACAAATAATTATGACACAGGTTGCCAATACTTTTTAGAGGTTCGTACCTGACTCGTTCGTATCAAAATCAGGATAACGTGCTGGTTATTTAATTTTAATCGGAAGCATGATTATAATCGAACACTACATTAGATTTACCAAATGCGGACAAAGTTTTATGCAAATTTGATAATGCATGGAAAAGTTATAGCCAATTGTTTCTAGCTTCCGTGGTTGCCAATACTTCTTGGATTGACTGTAATGAGACAATTTACGCAGTTGTTGGTAAAATTGCAAAATCCGTAAATTCTATAAACTTGCAAACCTTTACACAATTTTACAAATATTTCTAACGAAAATTATCTATCTTGCGAATTTTTGCAAACAGTGAGATCAAGCGATTTTTTTTTATTTTGGAAAAATTTGTGTAATTATTTCACACAATTTTTAGATTTTATATATGTATAAATAAGTTACGTATGTACTAATCTTGCGTGAATGCATTAATTTATTTAATTTCATAAATATTTAGATTTGTGAATGGAATAAATCTCAATAATTATCAAGGAAAATGTACATGATAACCAAACACATTCCTTTATGTCTAATGTTTTGTAAAATTTGCATAAATATTTGTAAATTTGCACACCAGAAATCTCTCGGAATAGTCCTTATTATAGAAATAAACCGAATCGGGTTCCTTATAAATTTGTACAGCGTCCACACCCCGATTCCACCGAGAAGGACGTATCCCTTATTTGAGGGAAGCTCATGCACAAAATTTTCCACCCACTCCCAAATTTTGGAGGGATCCACAAATTTAGAAATTAAGCTGGTATCCATAGCAACGTGAATATGTAAATGTGAAAGATGACTGAGTATATCTTGTCAACTGGAATTGAATGCGTGATTTGTTTGTTTCTTAATCATTTATTTATTTATGCATTCATATACGTGTCAACAAAGATCAATTCATAACAAATTGACACAAATACTTTAAATGCAAAAATGATAAAATTTGGACTTTGACTCCCTTTCGTTAAAGATATTCATTCAGAAGTTGTGTTGCTCATCAAATATTCAAGAATAAATAATCAATTTACTTAGTTACATAGTTCCTATATTGTAAAATCGGTATAATTTTTTCGTCTTTTCCTACACGTGGCTTGATAATGACTTCGATAGATAGCATTCGAAATATTGACAACTTTTCCTCCATTTTCCACATATGTTCAAACCCAGTTAATTTATAAAATGAGTTTAGATATATGTATACAACGAATGATTTTTAATCACTCCCTACTAAAACGAGAGAAGTCAACATAAAAGACTTAAGTTTCCATGCATATGCACATTTGCAATATCATGTTGATATATACATATATTTGTGTCAGAGCCTGACATCAGAATAATCAGAAATATGCATCACTTCCTTAAGTAAACTAGGTGATAAGTATGCTTGCTTAACTACTCATGTATAAGTGCATACATAACTTTGTTAAGTAGGGGAAAAGCGAGCCCATCAGGGTCAGTAAAGGTTAAGATGATGGTAAACATTGCTGTCTAATTTACATATTCTCCTTGGTCAGTTTTACATATATATTTAAGCTTAAAAGTATTTAAATGAATGAGTAGATGACGTACAAAGAACCAGTCACTAAATTAATAAGCAGACATTTACATAAATATGTAAACTATCCCAGCCAACAATTCGGCCAAAATTCTTTGAAAGAATTCTGTACGAACAGGTCGAAATTACACCGAGCTCGAAAGCTGTCAGAATTCTTGAAGAATTCGATGCGATTTCACTACGAATTCGCACCGAAAAATCTTCAACGAATTTAGGCCGAAAGATGACTAAAATTCGGTACGATTTCTTTGTGATTTCACTCCGAATTCTCAAAGGAAAATCTTGATCGAATTTAGACAGAAGGATAGCCCGAATTCGCCACGATTTCTTGGAGATTTCGGTAATCTCAATTGTATTGTACGAATTCTTAAGGAATTCTAGCTAAGGCGGCAGTATGTTCTTGGAAGTGGCCATGAGCCCACGCAATTTATTACTGCTCTCCCTCAGACAAAAACGGAGGATTTTAAAGAACAACATTAATTTGGAAAGTTATCTGAATAATAAATCCTCCCTCCAACAACAACCTGTGATAACCAACGACGTAAGAAGCAAAGAACAACACGAATCTACACCTCATAATCACAAACTACAACTCGAATCAGTAAGTGAAATTATAAGTAATGCAGATAGTGATTTACTAAATTATGTGCCAGCGCAAAATAATTACTTAGAAAAGTTTGACATTGGGGAATTTTCACCTTTAATTGACGAAAGCAACAGTTCTGATAGTGACTGCATAGATTTATTGGAGGACAGCATTGACCTTAGAATAAAACTTCAGAAATGGGGAACTGGACATAACGTGACTCACTCAGCTATTTCCGACCTCCTTAAAATATTAAAAACTCATCAATGTTTCTCAGACTTGCCATCAGAAGAACATTACTTCAAACGCCCACTACTACCGTTATTCGACAAGTTGAGCCTGGACAATACTGCCATTTAGGACTTGCAGCCGGAATTATAAAAGTTTTAAACAAATCAAATTCATGCCCCGAGACAGTTGTTGTTCACATTAATATTGACGGCATTCCGATTCACAAAAGTACAAATAAACAGCTTTGGCCCATTCTTGGAAGTGTGAAAAACGTTAGTGATGTGTTTGTAATTGGAATTTACGAAGGTTGCAGTAAGCCAAACGACTTGAATAATTATCTTCGCGATTTTGTGGAAGAATCTCTCGAACTAATTAGTAATGGAATTATTTACAATAGCCGTAAAATCAATTTTCAAATAGAAGCATTTATTTGTGACGCCCCTGCTCGTGCGTTTATTACAAGCATTAAAAATCATACCGGTTATTATGGTTGTGGAAAGTGCATAGTTAAGGGTAAATATATTGACAACCGGGTGGTTATGTTAAAAACGGATGCCGAATTAAGAACAAATGACACTTTTAGAGGACGGGTGCAAGAAAAACATCATAATGGAATTAGTGACTTAGAAAAGCTTCCCCTCGACATGGTAGAAAGTTTTCCCTATGAATACATGCATTTGATTTGCTTAGGAGTTACAAAAAAGTTGGTAAAACTGTGGACAAGTGGAAAAGTTAAAGTATTTCGTCTAGGGTCGAAAGTGATTTTAAAAATATCAAAAAAACTCGTAAAAGTTGGCAAGTGTTTACCTGTAGAGTTCAACCGGAAACAAAGACCACTTTCAGAAATTGACAGGTGGAAAGCAACTGAATTACGTACATTTCTTCTTTATACGGGTCCCTTGGCTTTGAAGAAACATTTACCAGAACAACATTACCAATTATTTTTGTGTCTCAACTTTGCAATCCGAATTTTGGCTTCACCAAAACAAAAAGAGCAACTTATTACTTATGCTGATTCTCTATTACATTATTTTGTTAGCCAATTTAAAATATTGTATGGAAAAGTGAATATTTCGTACAACATTCATGGACTAATACATTTGGCAACAGATGTCCGTCGACTTGGTGGATTAGACACATTTAGTGCCTTCAAGTATGAAAATAAACTTGGTGAAATTAAGAGATTAATTCGAAAATCATCTGGTTCTTTGGCTCAAGTTCACAGGCGGTTAATTGAAAAAGATTCTGTAGTGCAGGGGCCTTTTGTGAACAAAGTAGAAGTTCCAGTACTGTCAAAAATCCAATCTGACGGAAGTTATAGTGCTGTGAAATATAAAAACTTTACATTAAAACCTAATGTTCATAACGGTACATTTTGTTTCGCTAACCGACAATTTGCAGTCGCGCAAAAGTTCTTAGAAAAAACCGGAGAGGTGACGGTAGTCTGTCGAAAATTGTGTGGCTTTGAAAGTGCGTTTACCTGCCCTTGTGATTCTTCACTTATCTCAACAATTAATGTAGATTTGTCAAAATTGTCAAGTGAAATACAACTCCCTATCTCCGAGATTAATTACAAGTGCGTTGTTTTAAACGAATCCAATTTAAAAACTGTTGTGTTCCCCCTTTTACATTGTAGTTAAATAATGGAATTCCAAATTGTGAAATTTCCTGAAGAGAATGATGCTGTTGCCGTTGTTGCCAAGCCGTGGATGGTTGGAGAAGTCTGTTATTGGCCACCCCCACCGAATAATGTAAATAAACTTGTTAAAAATTATGCCGAACCGAATTTCGAGACGTGGGTAAAATGCAAAGCTCTGATCGTCGGAAATGCGTACGGTAAGCTCACATGTCATTTGCCTTACATTCCATTTTACATTCCAAACTACATTCATAATTTTATAAACCATTGAATTTTTGTCCAATTTTTCAGGAAGCTACAACGAAGCTCGGCAGAATTTGAAAGCAGCAACCTATACTTCGGATTTTGAAGAACAAAGAAGCGCCACGTCGGCATCGAAATCAAAACGACAGGTTTCTCTTCCCACGCCACCCGAAATTGATGAGTCTGGAAGCGTTATTCCTAGCGACGCCAACGTTATTCTAGAAGAGAACGAGAACTTGTCAAGAGAGGCGTCTTCTGTCACACAAGATCAAGACGTGGTGTATTTCGTCTCTCCAGCGATTGACACCAATGAGAAGGAGGTTCAGACGGATCCCTGCGAAATTACTCAATGTGAGCTTTTTTAAAAATTTTGTACTATTTCTACTATCCAAAGAATATCTAAATAAACCTTCGGTTATTTTAATTACAGTGCTGCGGATGGTCAAGGGAATTCAACTTGCATTGGCAGAACAAGGTCAAATTCTGCACACAATTCTCGATGGAGGGAAAGGTCGCTCTGCCTCGAATACACGGATTTCAATGGAACTACAGAAATTTACGTTTCCTCTTACAAATACTGTCGAATTGGAAAACCTAAATGACATGGTAAAGTCGTCTGACGTAGCAAAAGGTGACCTGGTAAGTATTTCATTTTGTAAAATGTTGTAGCAAGTTTTATCCGTTTTTATCTCGTTTTGCTTGTGGTAATTGTTCTTTGGGGTATTCAGATCACCATCGTCTCTGGAGGAGTGAGAGGATACGAGGAAGTTGATGTCATTAGCAAGATGATGAAAAAATTGATGACCGACGATTTATTGTCCAAATATAGTCTAAAAGGAATGCAGAAAAAGCTTTCGTTTTCTACGCTAGCGGATATAAAATATGTCCTACACAGTAAGTATGAATAAGTAGGGTGAATCATATAATTAGGGTTTCTTCCCTTGAATTTATTATTATTTTTTAATTATTAGGCGGTGCGGCAATTCTGATGAGCCCTTTGACACCTGACCACTCAAAAATTGATGACGGAATCTCGAGGGAGTTGACTAAGGCCGGCGATCGTGTGTATAAAAGAAATAAGTGAGAAATTTTTGCTATTATCAATATATGGTGCAAAATATTTATAACCTCTTTTAATTTCACAGGAAACAGCCAGTCACCAACAACCTGCCCTCGCCATCATCACAGAATTAATTTACAAATAATTAGTTTATTTTTTGTTATGATCACAAAAGTAATAAAATTATTTAAAAGGGCAACTCGTCTATCTAATTTTTTATTTAAATGTAAATCGTAGTGATTTCGGGCAGAATTCGTACAAAATTCGTTAGGATTTCCATCAGAAATCGTCACGAAGTCGAGAAAGAATCGGAAAGAATTCGTACAGAATTCGTACAGAGTTCGGCATAAAAAGTCGTGACGAATCGTCAAGAATTCTGTACGATTCTGCGGACATTTCCCACCGATTTCTTTGGGATTTCTGTACGAATCGTCAAGAAATCGGTCCCGAATAGGTCGAAAATTGTGGCCGAATTGATCCAGAAAACACAAAGAATTGTTGGCTGGGATGTATGTAAATGCATACATATGTAAAAGACACAGAGTTGGATATGGTAGAAGGAGTTACTCCGAGAATACATGACCATATTAGAACGAAGAAATATGGATAATTATGGATAATCGATAACGCACTACAAATTTTCGGTGGTGGAAAATCTAATAATAGTTAAAATTTCTAAGCTTAACATTAATAAAAATTGATTGAATTTTTTTAATAAAAAAAATGTTTTTTAAAGCATAAAAAATTGAATAATCCAGGACGGCGTTTGAACGCTCCTGACTTTCCAATTTTTTTTAAACATGGGATTGCTTTAAGTTAAATTTTGTATCAATTTACCTCAAACTATGTCTAGCTTTCCTATAACCAACTCTGTACAAGTAAGTAAATTCCGTCTTCCTTTATACTCCACTCTACGATAAAAGGATTAAAGCGCAGTCATATCTTGATACAATTAAGTCATGCATGTCCCATGTACAATTTTTAAAAGAAATACATATTCTATAAGAAATATAAATATTTCATCATGAATTATACAGTACATAGTTTACATGTATTTTTTATTAAAAATTTGTATTGCTTTTACACTCTAATTTTGCTCGACATTATATCCTCATAGATTTCCTGATCCATTCGGACATATTTCTTCCCATTGAAGAAGTAGACGGGATCTGGGACCAGGTTTATGTTGAAGGCTTCCTTCTGGTATTCGTTCTTCTTCAGTTTGTATGTCCCTGTTGAATTATACAAAAACGACGAGAAATATTAATAAAAATATCCAATATATGTACATATGTATGTAGATGTGTAAACCAGCGTGGAAACGTTGCTGCAATTTTGGGATCTCTTCCAGCCGGACGAGAGCTGGATGAGATTTTCTTACTATAAGACTACGAAATAGGTTAAGGTTTTTTTATTATTAAATTTCGGATAGGGATATTTTGTGAAGCGCTGGGCGTTTAGACTTTTCTAAAAAAGTAATAATTGTACACATACATACATCTCTGCGAATATAATCTATACTACAATGAATAAATAACTAAGTTGTATAAACTGTAAACAAATTTTTAAGTTTCGTGCATGAAAGATGTATGTAAGGGAGTTTGCTCGAAAAGTCGGCCTATACAAGGTCGTTCTTTAAGCCTTTATCGTGGGTAGATCGGATGTGATAATCTCGGATCCGTTGGATCGAATTTTTTAGCTTAATATTTTTATCTTAATTTGTATAAATCTCGCTATACCCATTTTGGGCGATACGGGTTTCCTATGGAGATATGTTGAATAAATTTTTATGTATGTCTCTCGCTTATGACTCAAAATATGTAAATTAGATGACTGTGACGCACAAATAATTCCACTATACCTGTGAGGACCAATTCGGTGGAAAGGACGCGGACAAAAACTGGTCTCGCGTACGCGGGGAGCCCTTTAATCACACCGTTCGCCAGTTCTTTCATGTCCAGCGTGTTTTCTGGGTCGGACATGACCGCCATGCCGGCACGCCCATTCGCGCCAGGAATTTCCACGCCAAACACGACCGTCCCCTTGAGACCGCTTATCGTGCTGATGATCGACTCCACCTCAGCCGTGGAACAATTCTCACCTAAAGATTTTTTAATAATTGTCTGGTTAAACTGAGTTGTTCTCGAAATTTTAGGTAAAAATCTTCTACATTTTTACAGGTAGTGCACCATTTAGAAATTGCCCAAAAATTTCAAATTATGCCTTGTTGAAGTTTCATTGATTAAAAAATGTCAGCCAACATTATATTTAAGTACGTAAGTCTCATCCTTATAGTTCCTTACAGAATAAATATTAGGCTGAGGTGTTATTTGCTTGCTAACATTTCTTGGTCGCTGAATATCTGTCAGGAAACCTTTCAGACTTATTTTTGACTATCTCAGCAAACAATTCACAATGGCCAAAAATGTGCCAAAAATTCGAAGTAATAGAGAATCGTATAAAATTTGTCATAACTACATTTTGCTCAACGCATATAAATTAAAATTGAACTAGGCAAACATTTATAAATTGCTAATTAGTAATTTTGCCAATTAAATTATGAATTATTTTGTCACCTTTCCATCTAAAAGTATCCCCTTTTCTGTCCTGGAAGTAGAAATATCCGAGATTATCTTGAACCAAAACGTCGCCCGATCTAAACCACGAGTCTCCTTTGCGAAACGCGTCCACCATAATTTTCCCACTCGTCGACGTCTTATCAGCATATCTACATTTTTAATTAATTATTCCGTTTAGGGTTTTAAATTTCGCAACATATTCAAATTCACGCAGATAAAACACTAAAAAATACATAATATATCTCTTTCAGGGACTAAATAAATGCAGTCTGAACTAGAAATTAAATAACCTATAATAAACCCAGAGTAGCTTAAACTTCATAAAGAGTCAAGTTTCCTCTGGATTTAATACAGGTTGCGTAATATAGAATTCAGAGTGCATTTAGGTAGTTTTTAAAGGAGATCAATACATAATTTCTAAACGTGCGCACCCTTGAAAATCTGTTATGGGATCCTTCTTAATAATCCGTCCCACAATTTCACCCGGGTGGTTGAGCCCACATCGGACGACAAATCCCGTCTTGGGATCCCGAATCGGCTCGCCGGTTTCTTCGTCCACTTTTATTAGTCGTATGGGAAGAACATTAGGCCCCCAGAGCGGGACGAATCCAATCGCACCGACACGACCGTCCAAATTCACTTAAAAAAGGACAGGGATAATTTTTGAGTAAAATTTAACTTTCTGGTAAACAAATTTTGAAAATAAGATAAAAGCTAAAAGTTCCGATCAAGTATATTTATATTTATATCGAAAATTGGAAATTATTGAGGGCATCTACAATTGTCCTGGTAACCTTAGTACCGTAAATACGAAGTAAAAATAATCTTCGTACACATTGTAGCCTTACTAACGCCATTTTTCCAGATATTGATAAAATCTTATGACGCCTTTAAAATCTCGAAGGAATCATGAATACCCGGATTGCCTCGAGAATTAATTTGTGAAAATAATTCGTCAAAAAATTAGCTTTTTGAAAAAATTGAAAAAATTGAAATTGAAATTAAGTTTTCTTTACCCATATTACAGTTTCCTTCCGTCGCCCCGTAAAACTCGGAGATCTTGACTCCGAACCTTGACACGAAATCTGCCCAAATCTCTCCCCTTAAACCGTTTCCATACATTACTCGAACCTTATGTTGCTTATCTTGTTTGGATACCGGTTGGCCCAACAGGTAGCGACACGTTTCCCCAATGTATTGAGAAACCTGAGAAAAAACGACGTACATATTTTTATGCATAATTAATCCTTCTTAATATCATTTTATATTCGTAAATTAACCGATGAAAAACAACCAGAGTAAAAATTTGAACGGCTTTCCTGCAGAAAAACTTTATGATTTTTTGCAGTATCATTTTTTGCAGAAATATGTATGTACATACATACTGTTGGGCAGAATACATACAACCCATAGATATTTATAGCAAGATTATGCAAAATAAATTATACAGGATTGAGCATACGTAAGGCTTGTCCGTGTCAAGTCGATACGTGTCAATTTGACCATACAATTTGTCACAATTCTAATGTGACCGATATTTATGACAAATATGACACAAATTGGACATTTATGACAAATTGGACATTTATGAGTCACAAGTTATGACATGTCAATTTTGTCAATGACATGTCACGTCAGAATATTTGTGTATTTATTTCGTCGTGACATAATTTTTCTCACCGTGGCGTTATATTTGATGCAATCCGACCAAAAATTGGAGGCAGAAAACTTCTTCCGGATTACTTGGCATGCCCCGTAGAGGAGCGCCGGGCCCGAGCCGAGTACCGTTCCAGATCCGTGATACAGAGGGAGTGGCGTGTAAACGATGTCCGAATTCTTTATTCCCGCGATATGCACAACAGTCGCGGCCAGCATTAAGAACCGCGAATGCTTAATCGAAGCAGCTGAAATATATTTAAATATGTATGCAAATGGGTGAAATTATCATATTTGTTATACCTCATAATGTAAATAAAACCTGTGTTATGATTTATGTGATCAGATTTTCTAATCTTGATTCCTACTCGATTTGTTGGGAGTCTTTAAAACGAGGTTTGAGTTTAGCAAGGGAACCGTGTAAGGTACCTCATACATCCCAAAGGAGTCGTCTAATTGGGTGAAATTTTACTCCGAAATTCAGGGTGGGACACCTTACACGGTTCCCTTGTAAAACTCAATCTTTATTTTACAGAGTTCCAACAAATCTTGCAGTACGATTTCTAAATATTTTGAAACGGTTGGGGAAATGGTTTGGCTAAATGTACGGATTTGCAGCCTTTTGCGGGGGTAAAATTCGATTAAATAAATACTCACTAGCCTCAGAAATAAAATTTGCAATTGCCAAATTTAAAATTTGCAAGTAATTTGTCAACTCTGACCTTTTGGAAGTCCTGTCGTCCCTGAGGTGAAAATGAACATGGCCACATCACCGAATCCTATCGCTTCCTTTACGAGTGGGCAAATGGTATCAACGTCGACCAATATTTCGTTCAGGCTTTTGAAGGAGTCGTAGAACGTCATGGGGATGGATGTGCCCCCCTCGAGGAACGTGTAAAGGGTTGGCTCGCCCTCCAACTGACCTCCACATTCGGCCAGTAATTCATTCATAGCTAGATACCGAAAAAGAAATCAAAAAATTGAAGTTTTCAGTGGATTTTTTAAAAACTGAGAATTACGAACCATCAACAAGATCCAGCGTAAATATGACCGCTTTGCAGTTGACAGATTCGATACAATGTTTCAACGGGGTTTGGCGAAGGTTCGTGTTTATCAGGGCGCCAATGACGCCAATCTATAAAGCAGAAAAATTAGTCGATTTAGTACAATTTTCAAAATAATATTACCGTTCTGAAAAGCAAATTAAGTCTAAATTCAATATTAAGTAAGCTAAATATATATATGTATTTATATTACAAAAGGCGTTAGGACATGGTTTTGACGAATTCATGCCTTAATTGCGGGATGGATTTTAGTCGTAGAGATTTCTAACTTTTTTTATGTGAAAGCCCATGTCTCAAACTATAGGTAAGCATATCTGGCTTCCGATTTTGTGTACTCTGCGAAATGAGGCAAGGTCAAATTTGGAGAGGTGTCCTTTTTTAGTTTTCCAAACCAGTGTTCTTATAAAATGGCGTTGAACAAAATATTTTTTTCTGAGGTCCTGATGCCAAAATAGATTTTGCGACTATTTTTAAGGGACTTAGCATGCTTTTCACTATATAAAACCACTTTTGCCTCATGCTTATCTTTTAAGTCCGTTTTACAGTCTAATTTCATACTTGTCCTAATGAAATGCGCTCTTTAACGCAACTCTTCCACTTTTAAGGCCCCCACATTTTACGACTTTGATGCTAAAAATCCCTAACGTGGTTTTTATCCAAGGTACATATAGTATATTGCACTGTAAGTACTTTTGACAAAATTTTGATAAGTGGTTATACCCCACGGACTGAGTTTTCATCAGACCTTATAAACTTTTTGGAAAAGTTCCCGTCGTTTTCGATGTCGAACTTCAGAAATAATTTAACTAACCAAAACGCAATAATTTTATTATTTTGTCACTTGTACCTTGTAGATAAAATAGTTCTGCAGCAGGGGACACCAAAAGATTATTAAAATTTATTTTCGAAAAAATTTGACCATTAATTTTCCAAATAAGTTCACGAGTTTTTTAGGATTCTGCGACAGCTGATTAGCTCGGGTCCTTGTATAAAACTGTTTACACAAAATCTTGACTGTTTGTTTTAATATTACTTAGGACACTTCCAGCTTTACCCTCAAGCTGCATTTGACCCGGTGGGTCAACTTTCAAGGTCAGCAGGTTAATTTTTCCGCGCACGGTCTGATTTATCATTTTTTGGGCAAACTATCCGCGATGATGGAAGGCCCACGTTGTGTGATTCATTACGGATTCTTTTATTATTACATGCAATGATTATCTAGGGTTATTATATTAACAATCATTCACCTCTGACCTCTTTGGTTATCATGCTATATAAGCAATTAAGTTTGGAAAGTGTTTTTTTGGCTTCTACCAACTCCGGGGGCACTGTATGGTGCATTTGCGAAGCTATCACCCTAAAATTTTAAAGATATATTTTTGAGAGTATTATCTTGCAACCTACCAAAAATCAGTTCAAAATTCAACTCCCCGCCAAAGATATTCACCCGAGAATTCGTCAAAACAATCACCTAACGCCTTTTGTAAATTCAGGGTAACATCTACTTAATCAAGACCAAATTTTACTCTGGATTTAGTATAAATTACTTCATATTAAATTCAGGGTGCATTAACTTATCAAAAGGGTGACATTATTTCTAAGTATGCACATCAAGATTGGGACACCTCGCCGTGGCACGAAACCCGAAACTGCCCGAAAGTTTGTCTGAATTGGGGCCCGCGCCGCCGCCAAATTTGCCGGGGTTGACCTCTAACTTAAACTAATCGTCACATTTTGACAACTTCTTCTATAAACTTTGCGAATTTCCATTTTAGAACTTTGAACGCTTCTTGTGAAGTTGTAAATATAAATTTTATGAATAAATATTTAAATAAATTTACCCGACTGAGGCCCAGCCAAATCGGAGCATATTCGGCACAATTTGTCATAAATATTCCCACTCGATCACCTTTCTTGTAGCCAAGCGATGCAAAATAATTCGCCACACGATAACTTAATTCTTGCACCTGGAATAATTAAAGTAATAGATTTTTTAATTTAAAACCTTTTAAAAGAATTAAAAAAACGTAATTTATTTACCTCCTTTCCCGTCATTTTAAAATCATTAAATTGGAAAATAATTTTGTTCCGATTCTTTTTCACAATTTCTTCAAATACTCGAAATATTGTGTAGTTTCCATTCTGGAAATGTCTCAGATTTCTCTTCAATAAGATTAAAGTTGGAAGTGCGCTATAATTGTAATTAAAAAATGTAAGATTAAACTATCTATTTGTGAGTTTAAGTATCCTTATTTTCTTAATTTTACAAATTTTTACACTTGCTAAATGAATAAATATTGTATATCTAATTTTTACGGAAATCTACACAATTTCCAAAACATATTCTTTTATCTTTAATAGAAATACAATGAGAGAATTCATGCTTTTATTAACTTTGCAGAATCCGTAAATTCTGTAAACTTACAAACTTCTACAATGTTTTAGGCCGATTTCTAAGAAAAATTAGCTCCCAATTTTTTTTGTATACTTACTCATACATACATACACATAAATGGCGTCTTTGTACATATATGTATGTATATACATATGTATTTTGTCAAACTTTGTAAATTAATTTTACAAAACTTACGAATTAAAATGATTTTACAAATATTTATATTAGTAAAATGAATAAATTTGTATAATTTATACGTAATTTACATATTTAATTGGCAACAACATAATTCTTTGTTTAAAATAAAAATGTAATATTTTGCACAACTCGAAGCTAATTAAAAATTTACATACCAGAAATCTCTCGGAATCGTCCTTATTATAGAAATAAACCGAACTGGATTACTTATAAATTTGTACAATGTCCACACCCCAATTCCACCAAGAAGGACGTATCCCTTATTTGAGGGAAGCTGATGCACAAAATTTTCAATCCACTCCCAAATTTTGGTGGGATCCACAAATTTAGAAATTACACTCGTATCCATGACAACGTGGATATGTAAATGTGAATGATGACTGACTAAGGAGATTTTATCAACTGGAATTGAACGCGTGATGATAAAACTGCGAACATGAACAAAATTGGACTTTGAATCTTCTTCTTTAAAACGATTCATTCAGAAATTGTGTGGATCTCATCAATTCCATAATATTGATTCACCCAGTTCTTATTGATCACATTGAAAAAGAAATCGACTTAATTTATAAAATGACGAGCTTACAACTGCTTAATAATTTATGATCACTCCCAAAAACATCGTACGAGCCGAGTAAATCTACATAAGTAATTTCCATACTTAAATTTGTACATTTACATACAATATTTATTATACTGACATATGAATGTCACGATAGATATACATATACATATTTATTACATAATAAGAATTAAGGAAAGTAGGTTATCAGCATGCATGCTCAATTACTTAACCATACATATTTGCATACACACATAAATTTGTTGAGATGCCGAAAAAGCGTGGCGTGTCCATCAGGGTCAATAAATGTCAAGGAGATGATTTCTTCCTCAGATGATTTCTTCGTCGTTTATCCACCTTGGTCAATTTTACATCTACATATGTTTAAGTTGAAATGTATGTATGTATGTATACGAATTGTGTAAAGTAAATATGTAAATGGATGAAATGGAAGGGCCGGTAACCTAACAATTACAATGCACGTGAAATGTGAAGTATGAGAATATGTACGTATAAAGGGCATGCAGTTTAAAGCGCAATGACATATCAGGATTAGTGAATATGCCTATGTACATACATACATGCATACTTATATACATATGTAAATGACCCAATTATTCTTACACATGTCACTTATCTGCAAATCAATCCAAGCATAAATACAAGCCAATATGTGTATGTACCTTTCGTTAAAAATCAGTATCAGTTGATTGTATCATTGTATAAATTGTATCAGTACCAAGTAATAATGGAAGGTCTCCCAGGTCTCTGGTTTTAAGCGAACTGGAATCGCTTGATGACAAATTTAATTAATAGAGTAGTGCATACGCTGGGAGACCTCCACTACAAGAAACTAAAGATATGCATGCAAATATCCTTCAAAAACAACACATAGATAAGCATTTTAAAATTGCTTATGCATTATTTATTTCTTCGTACATGTACATTTCCCCAAACACATACTATAATGTGAAGCAAAATTTTGCTTCACTACGTATTAATTTGACTTCAAACGTCCAAATCTTCCATCTCATTGCTTTTTACTCCTTTATCCGAGACAAACTAAATTATCGGGCAATGGAGCAATGGATCTCGCCTTATTTGCCCACCCCTTTTTGGCCAGGTCGGGATAGATCCCCTTAAATATACGCTGCTCTCCTTTACAGTCCAGCTCAGAATATAGCGTCAAGCAACGGCCGTACGTGTTGAAAGAGACCATCTTTAAGTCCAAAATCCGGTCAATATAAGCACAGCCGTTCGGGTTCTGGGAAGACACGCTAGTGTCGATCCCACTTCCTAGCAACAATTCAATTTTTTTAACTAATCACGTTTTGTCTAAAAAAATAAAGGGTGTGAGAAAAATTGGGTGAAAATTTTGAAATGACAGCATCCGAATATCGGATTTTTACACTATTTCAGAAATTGGACAAATTTATAAACCTTCACCTGCAAAATATCATACATATTTTGGGTAAATAAATAAGGGGTGTGAGAAAAATTGGGTGACGAATTTCGACAAAATCTCTCCCCCAAATCTAATTTTCGCTTTTACATATGTATTTATTTAGAAATTTTTGATAAATTTATAAACATTCACCTGTAAAATCAACCCCGGTGAAGCCTTCATATTCGAAGCTTATAGCTGCCTGAGTTGCCTTGGTGACCGACAGGATTATCCCGGCAGCAATCAAGGCTTGCCAAATGGGGGAGTATGTCATCTTGTCCAGGCAAAAATGTGTTGCTTGACCAAACTGTGGATGAAAAGGTAGTGTAAAATTTCCTGCTGACCGACTGCCTTATATATTGCCGAATTTTCAGGAACGTCTGACGCAAATTAAACTACTCAATTGAGATTCACACAATCCTTCCGTCACACTACTTGTTATCACTATGTGAGGATTATCTTTAAATCTAGCTAATTAGTTGAGCACTCAGAAAAATTATACTCCTTAATTCGGGTCTAATTACAATTACGGAGAAAGAATCAATAAATTAATACTGAGCAAGATTAGAATGCCTGATTTGAAGGTTTTTATCCTCAATTGATTCTGAAGTTTATCCCCGTAATAAATAAATTGGGGATATTATTTACTTGGAAAGAAACACTTCGTGGAAGCTATGAATTGTCTTTTTCTCGGTTTTACCGTTATGTGAGTTTATGCAATTATTTATATAATTTCTACGTATTAATTGCGGGACACGTTAGTACCGAACCGAGCTTGCATCACACAAAGTATTAAAGTAATTTTGGGGGTTACAGTTATGCATACATATGTAGATGTATGCCTTAAGTGAATTTATGTAAGTCAAATATTTTTGCGAATGATAGTTTTGAATCTGCCATTTTTTTAGCGTATTAAATTATTTATGTCATTCTTCTAGGTTGTTAACAATGTAGGAGAAATTTGTATGTAACTTCAAATATCATACCCAACATAATACATAAATATATTTAATATACAATAATTAAATTGTAAAACAAACAAATCGCATGAACACAAACAATTAATTTCAAATCGACTAAAATGTTTATTTCTTCCATCGCCAATGAAAATTGTTTACTTGTTTAAACAGTAACAATGTGACAACAATTTTATTCAACTATTTACATATATGTATCGAAGTATATATACTTCGATTTCAATTGTTTCACTGCTTTATCCAGAAACCAAAAACTAAAATTATTTCATTGCAAAATAAATAAGTCGCATAAATACATCCAAACAATTAATTTTAAATCGACTAAAACGTTTATTCTTTCCGTAGCCAATGACAAAATAATTACTTAATATTTGAATAATTCCACTCCTGGTACCAAGAACACTGTAGAGGCTTGGTATCTTCGAATGAACACCATTTGTAATGGGTCTCATCGAAGTATATGAAAATGTGTCGAAATTTTGTAGGCAGATCGGATATGTACATTGACAGTTGGAGTTTCAAAAATTACAAGGTTAATGAATATTATTTAAATTTATGGTTGATATGCTGCAATATTTGTGACCAATTTCGCACTGTCTATACGATAGAATAATGAGCTTTGGTCGGACCGTGTACGATTTTTTTGGCGCCCACAGGAATTTTTCGCCCAGGACAGGTTGGAGGTCTAAAATCGCCGCCTTGGCGAAAATTAAAAAACTGAAATATACTTTTGTTACATACTGTAAATTCCCGTTTAACGAATTACCATAAATTTGTAGGTATGTTTGTATCCACACGGCCATAAATAAAGGATGCGATCCACTTTCGGAGAATTTTGACCCCTACCCGACTGTGACTTATACGCCCCATGTTATAATTTGCATGGGACAGGTAGGATGCCTTTACCCTCAAATCGATCATATGCTTTCTGCACAGTCCCTAGGTTATATCTTGGTTCTAAAGGTTTATAAATACATTTTCATAAATCTATCGAAATGTCGATTTTAGAGCATAACAACATAAAAAAAAGATATTTTCCAAAGTTTAACCTACATACGGTCAGGATTTCATATGTAACACAGTCATGCAATAATTACAAAATGAACTGTAAATACGTAATTTCAGTAAAACACCATCTCATCATCAACATCAGTTGAAACGTCAGCAATTTCCTATCACGGTAATCACAATGAATTTTTCTTGGTACATATTTATGTGTGTACACTGTGTCCAAAAAGTCCTGACGCTGTCGTCCCGCGCGCGGTTTTGCCTCGTTGTTTTGTTGATTACTTTTATATTTGGAAGTTCCGACAAATTATATTTTTTCCACAATGGGTCCTAAGGTCAAGGTATCTTGTGAACATAAAAGAGTTAGAATACAAACATTATTCAGCGAAGGGTATGGCACCAAAGAAATTTGTCAAAAAGTTCAAGTGTCTCCAAGTACAGTTCGCCGGTGGAGAAACAAAAAACAATTTACAGATAGAAAACGATCCGGAAGACCAAGAGTACTCTCGCCTACCACAAAACGTCAAATAAAGTCCAAAATGTATAGAAAATGTGGAGCATCTGTACGAAAAACCGCAAGAATATTGAATTCCACTCCCCGGTATATGAACAAAAATAAGAATATTTCAAAAAGTACCGTGCACAATTACCTCAAGACAACAAAATGGGGTAAAACTGCATATCGGAGCCAAAAGAAGACTCTTTTAAGTAAAAAAAATGTTCAAGACAGACTTAAATTTGGACAGTTGGTGGAGGAAACTGGATTTTTGACGCCGGGGACGCGTGGTCAAAAATTGAGGGCCAATATACTATTTACGGATGAGACATGGATTGAGCTCCACGGCCAAGGTCACTCTCAAAATCGTAGATACAGAACAGAAGAAAGAATAGACGTTCCTCCGATTTTAAGGCCAAAACACAGCCTTAAGATCATGGTGGCGGGTGGCTTCTGTGCCGGAGGCGTCACGCAACTGCACGTTGTTCCTCAGGGCCAAACCATCAACGCCAACTATTATCAAACCAAAATTTTGCCTACCTATACTCAGGCTATGAGCAGTGGGATATTTAGCAGTCGAAATAATATAGTTTTCCAACAAGATGGGGCTCCAGCACATACCGCAAAGTCGACGATGAAGATTTTAGAGGACGAATTTGAAACGGTGTGGGGAAAAGGGGTGTGGCCTGGAAATTCTCCTGACTTGAACCCCATCGAGAATTTATGGTCCATATTAAAGGATTCAGCATACCAAGACCCTCTTCCCACGACAAGACAAGAGTTACAGGCCCGATTCCAAACCACATGGAATTCGCTTCCGGTTGACCTTTTACAAAAGTTGGCCCAAAGCTTTAAAACACGTGTGGACCAAATGATGACCAACGACGGTGGACACACAACTTACTAGGGTACTTGAAAACAAATGTTTCAAATTAATTATTTCCTTTCCCACTTTTCTACAAGCCAATAAAAATTACTCGTATTTTATGCGTCAGGACTTTTTGGACACAGTGTATTTACAGGGATGAGATTTAGTGAGAGTGAATGCGAGCAGAGCTCAGTCTGGAGAAGTTTCTCGTTTAAATTCTGTATTGCATAATGGTTGCTTTACTTACTGATGCAGTTGTATGGGTGGTTATCGGTTACAGTTACATCGGTTAGATTTCACCAAGATGCATACATACATATACATACATACATATTCCTCACCATCTTCCGTCAAGATGCATAATAGCAATGAAAAACTTACAATACACCAAATTTCCGAAGTAAATCAGATTATTAAAAGTATCATGCACTCACTGCACATGTTGCATATTTACATTACAGTTGCTCCATATACATAACTCCATATACATAACTTTAATACTAGTTACTCGATTGTGAATGTATGTACATACATAGTTTTAAGCAGAGAGTTCAGATTTGTGAATGCATACGCTAATGCCCGACAAACTCTTTCATAGACACACTCAGGCATTTCTTACTGAAGAAAATGTTCGTCAGTGCATTTTCTTCAGTAACTAACTAAAGCATGAGTACATAATGTCTCCTGCAGGAAAAGCCCTCCCTTGCTTGACCTAGTGTGAAACTTTGATGTTTAGCTCTGTATTCTTCAGTAAGTCTCAGTGACTGAAGACGACTGAGGTCTTCCCCGATTCGTTTGGACATGCACTGTAAAACAATCCAGTAGAGTTAAATATGTACAATATTGTACACTTAAAAATACACTGCTAAAAATCTGGCTGACTCACCTACTTATGTATGTATGTATGTACTCCATAGTAGAAAATAACTTAATAATTTGGTAATAATTTCCTACCGGATTGGTAGTGGTTTGGTTTTAGATACATACATACATAGGTAGCATAACTATGTAGGGATTATAAATATGTACATACATATGTACATATTTATAAATCGGGTCATTTTATACGTACTAGGTGGCCCACTGAAACTGTAAGTGAAATGAAACCCTGTGACTTTAACAGTTTTTATGTTACGAATTTCTAGTTAATTTTAACTGAAAGCCAGTTAATTTCAGAGTAGAGAACAATTTTTAGTTTTCGAAATTTCCTCCCTCGGCGCTAACGCAGCGCTATAGAAACCGCCTGCAGTCCTCTGCTGAAGCACGCACTAATTCCTGGGTATAGTGTTCCATTCCGTAGTCAAAAAATTTTTTCGGATCCCTAGACTTCTATGAGACTTAGAACATACGTTTGCCCCTAACTTTGACCATTTTTCATAATCCGGAGATTCAAATCCTGAAAGTAGAATTACCATTTCCAAGTGGATGTAAAGTTCGGAATTTTGTTTTTTACACACGCTTGGGTCATTTTTTCTACTATAAGCTCTTGCTGAGTCGTACTCCAAGGTCCTGTCGACTTCAATGAATTGGATCTCACTTAGGGGATGTAGCACGGACTCGAAAAGTATTTTAAGAAATTTGATCCCCCCACCTTCCCCCCAGTTTCAAAAAAATGTAGAGGAATTACCCCAATTTGCTCCCACCTACCAAAATCATGACAAAACCTGGATAATGTGGCTTTCTGACCTTTTGTCTATATTTGGGGATGTCTCTGACAGATTTGGCGTAGATTAGGCCAACTCGCTTGTTAAAAGATTTTTCTGATGTGATAATCTCCTCATCTGTAAATAGAATCCTCTTCAGTTTTTCTGAGCGTCCCGCTTGAAGTTACTCCTGGGTTTCTTTAATCTGGTCTTCCTTTGGGGAATGATCGGCATGTGGCAAGTACCACATTTCAAAGTCCTAAGTCTAAGGTTCAATTTGAACGCTCATTGGATAATCTGCTTCTATCCTGTCACCTGTGAGGTTGGTTTCCGTTGGAATTTCGTGAATTTCTTCGGATTCCAGCTTTAAACGCCTTCATGATGGGTGTGGTCTTTGTACGATTTCAAAAAATCTTTCTTCGACTGTTCTTAGTCGACCCGGTCCCCATGAACGTTATTATAGTCCGTTGGACTAAATTATAGTGCACGTTCGATTTCTGCCACACTTCTAAAATTCGCCATTTCTCTCCCCATTTTTGTAGAGAAAAATTTTCGCCGCCCGCTTCCAATCAATATTTTCCATGCTAATTTTCTTTGCAAGTAGTAAAAAACTGATTCGTGGTTGTTATGCAAAATCGCACGGGGAATCCAATGCACTCATCAGATTTTCATTATCTCTAGCCGTTTCGAAGAAAACAGCTACTTACAGCTACAGTGGGCCCAGTAAGTAAGCACCTTTCTCATATTTCCAAAAAGTCTAATTTCCTCATTGGGAACTGGGGGTCATGGCAATTGGCACACCCGTGTATGGATAAGAATCGTCTCAATGTGTGACAACGCATTAAAAAAACAAATAATTTTTTAAATTTATGACCACACCCATCACAAAGATTCTGACGGGGTGTCCTTACAACCCTAATCTTACTTCACCCCCGAAAAATTAGAATACCTCAGGTCAAAACAGCATCCTATAATTTGCATATTTTCGCGACTTACACGTACACACATATGCAAGCATGCATGCATGCATAATATATAGTTAGTGCTTTTACTGTTTAATACTGCATTTCTAAGAGTGTGACCTGATAAAAATTGGGTCGAAATGATGACAAAGATCCTCTCAAACTCAGCATCCGCTTTTTACTACATTTCGACAAATTTAAGCATTTACAAATGTGAATACCGCTTGGTATACGTACATATTATTTTAACGCTGCATTTCTAATTGTATAATTCATGCAGTAATTTTTACTCACATTCATTTCATTATATCACAACGTGCTGATCGGTTTAGTTTGTTGTCGTTTGTTTCTTCTGTTTCATCATGACTTCAACTTACTGACCGATTTATATCATCCGCATCATAAAAAATGTTCATCACGCTACATTCGTATGTCTGCGGAGGAGAAAATAGAACGGATGACTTAAGAGATAAAGTTATGATGCTCAGCATCGATACAATACTGTCGCCATGATACGGTTGTGATGATGTGAGAAAGGTTCATGATGCCATTATTGCGGACGAAAGACGGCGTTAGACTTCAGCACGTCCTTCACAACGTGTTGTTTTACATCCACTTTCCAGGAACAATATGTACCTCAGGATCGGTCGCTTTGTTGTATGATGGCTAATGGGACATATTAGATACCTAGTTCCGTCGTATGTCTCGTCCTGTTAAAGAAATGAGTGTACACGCCTAGCTAAATTGTGTTGAATTGAATCAACTGGAGCCGGAGTAAATGTATGATTTCACCAACACGGTAATAAAAGGCATTACATTAAGGTATGAAATACCGTTGTGGGAATGAAAATTTACCGCTCAGAAACAAAGTATTTATTATCAATCGGGGAGGAACTAATTCCCAAATCTGTACCAGCACGGAGTGTATGGTATACATATGTAACCTCATCACATTTTTAAATGGAACAAAGCCATTCTATTAACTATTCAAAAAATGAAATTATCACTTGAAAGCCGATGAAATTCCTGACCAGATTATTACTTTTCAAAACGTTTACTTTCCCCTGTCCACACAACTACTGGCCAAAAATTAGGAATCAAGTGGCATTTGTTTTTCCGTTGAATGGCCTCTTGGAGGCAAAATTATAGAGGTCAAATTCCGCACGTGCGCCTTTTTCTCGTCACGTGGAGTAACAAGTGATAGAAAATTTACTAAAAGTTTTACTTCGCCCTCAAAATACATATTTTGTCTCGAAGTGAATATTCTAGGGTGCCATACGATTGCTAATGTTTGGCTTGATTTTTAAAACATAACTCGCTACATATGTACATAATCGTGATGTAGCATGAAGAAAAGGCTCACTTGCAACTACATATATTTAGTCGAAGGAAGCGTAGGACAGAACATGTGATCAGACTAGGTACGCTTGTGGTGGTGGAGCAATATAACCATGTGCATATTAGAAATGAATTTTCATGTAAAATTTAACCGTGGTCCGTGGTTCAGTTAAAGTCCTCTCGGGAGCTATATAAGCTAATCACGTCGTCATTTCTTATCCAGTCGAGCCTTTGCGGAACACAAAGAAAGTACGTATTAAAATAAATACAAAGTAATTATTTAATCCGTTGTCAATTATAACTTATAATTCCACATCCCTCCGTCATTTCATAAATTAACTAAATATTACGTTGCACATTTACATTTCACACTTCGCCAATTTCACCATACATATTCGCCAATTTTTACTGAACATCTGCATACATATAATTAATAGTTTGTGCCTTCACTAAATACATACAAAGTTTCATCATGTCAGTGATCGCTAAGTCTCATGTGAGCAAATTTTATTGAATTTTATAGCGAAACCGGTCTTACTCCTAAATTTAATTCATCGCACATTTTTTTTTTTTTTTTACATATTTTTAAAAATTATTTTATTCATTTTCTCCTTTCCCAGGTGGACCACGAGGTCAAGAGATTTACCTGGAATCTTGAAAATCTGAAGATCCTAGCCACTAATCCGAACTTAAGAGACACGCATGTTTTCCCCTTCTCTATCGGCTCAACTATCGACAGGGCCTCAAAATGGAAATTTTTCCTGTCTCCCGATAACAACAACAATGCACGCTTCCCGTTGTCCATCGCCTTTTACGTCCAATTGGTAGAATACTCTGGGACAGAAGAGATTCCCATCGAGCTGCAAATTTCCGTCATGGGTGATAACAATTGGAGATATGCGGTTTGTAAGGACAAAAATAAAACAATTAGGTTATCTATGATGAGATAACGTACATAATCGGGAAAATATGTTGCCAAAATAAAGTAGTCTTGATCTCCGTTTTTTCAAAGGTTTCGAATTCCATTGCCCTTGCAAAAAGTCGAGAATTTGCATAGACAGTCACACGCGCACAAAATTACACGTGATTTCATGAAAATCTTACTATTAAATTACTTAACTTTCATGATTTTTGTAACAAATAGAGTATTTTGAAGTGATAAAAGATCAATTTCTTCCCAGAACTTCGTATAATCTTAATTCGAATTTTGTAACTAGAAATCCAAGCCACTGAAAAAGCTGAGATCAAAATACTATAAATATTTTGACACTATAAATTTTGCTAATCCTTCATAATTTTATATTTACAATTCCTAGTCTTGGGAATACACAAATTCACAGCGGCCAGTACGGCGCCTATGAAATGCAATATTACCACTTTTCCGCTGCCTGATGGAACGCTCGGCTCAATTTTTCAGCACGGTGGCAACCGTCTGTTGAAGGTATTTATCAAATTCCAGATTTTTGGGAAACAGAGATACGCCATTTCGGATTCGGATTTGCTGTCGCCATCTTTTTTGGCGAAGAGAATGAATCAAAGCTCCCAGCGCTACAAGGAGATCGCCCTGGCCATGCTGGAAAGCGGGGAGTGGTCTGATGTGACCTTCATGACGCGGGATGGTCAGCGTGTCGTGGCGCACAGGCTGATCCTCTCCATGCACAGCGCCGTCTTTGCAGCCATGTTCGCCGCCGAGATGAAGGAGAAGACGGACGGCGTTGTGAACTTGGTCGACATGGGGGGCGACGCGCTCAAAATCTTGTTAAAGTTCGTCTACACGGACGAAATGGATGAAAAATGGGGCCAGTTTTACGGCGAGATTGTCAACGCAGCTGATAAGGTGGGTGCATTTACATGCATACATTTACATAATTATATTGGTGTACATGCATGGTCTGTCATACATACCTACATATGTACATATGTTGAGGATATTCGTTCCGATTTAGCATAGCTAGCAAAACACAAAGTTCGCGAATAAATTCGCTTGAAAATTCATTTGCATACCTGCGCAATTACAAGCCTAATAAATATTTGGTTCGCTGAACATTAAAAAAAATATGTTTCGACGCGATACGATTCCTTCGTACTGTACCAATATTCATTGTATCATAAAATTAGTTGCAACGTAGTCGAGAGTTTGTAAGCGTGGTAAAATATTGCCAGAAAAATTGCGTTACCAAGGTTATGATTTTTATGGAGCTTGTTCTGTTCTTCGTAAACTATTTGTGTATCAAGACAATTGCCTATATTTTGTTTTATTTATAGTATCAACTCACATCCTTGACCAATATTTGTGATAAGCTTCTTCCGACACTCGTCTCATGGGAAAATTGCACAGAGCTGTTGAAACTTGCCGAATTGCACGGGATGCCCGGTGCGAAGGGAGAGATTGAAGAATTTATGAAAAGGCAAGTTTAAAATTCGAAATAATTTTGCTCACTGTCGGAAGAACTTCGTAACTTCGTAACTTCTGGAAGTAATCTGTTCTTAATTGTTTGGTATATTTAATAGTGACCCGGGAAAATTGCTTCAGTTGTACGTGTCATCCAGCCATTTAATTGTTGACAACGATATGCCTTAACCTTCATCACCATTATTTTGGATGGCCGTTTACTTATCTTTCTATATATTAGTACAAACATATTTATTAACTGAATTTCCCTTGGATTTGTAATTTAAATATTTATTTAAAAAAAACAAATGGAAACCAATTTTTATGTAAGTGAAAATTCAATCTTATTCTCATTATTAGTTTTATCCTGGAAGTTTGTGTATAATAAATATGTAAAAATTACTTCCACTTCTGCGCTCCACTCAAATAGCAACTACACACTTAAAAAGGCTCGATTGTTAGTAAAATTTAAATAAATAAATTTAATAATAATTTAAATGCTTATAAATACATGCATACATATATGCATACAGTTATTTGATGTACATTCTCCCGTTTTCATGCACTCTAATAAATCTGGTATAGTCAGACACCCATTGATTTCTCGGTATTACAAAAACTTGCTACCACTTGGTACCAAAATTATACATAGGTACATAAATCAAGGCCCATGAAAGTTTCTACCAGTGGGGTTAAAACTTAATACAGACCTCTTACTAGTCCGTATCAGGGTTGCAGAAATCTCATCTCACCTTCACAAATCTCATCTCACTGAGATATAATGAGAAATAGTGAGACATGAGAAATATGAGATTTAGTGAGATTTATGAGCCATGCACTAGCGCCACCTAGCGGACGGAGTCATTAACTGCATGTTTATCTCATTATTTCTCATATTTCTCACTCAGCCCCAAGTGAGATAAATGATATAAATCATTAAATCTCACTAAATCTCACTAGGTGATATATATCACTTGCAACCCTGGTCCGTATCACTTTGGTAGAGTCGTATAATTCTAATCCTGGATTTCTAAGCGCGTGCATGCAATAATTCTGAAGAATCATCTTTTCATCATATCGCCACGTGTTTGTTAGTGGGATTGGTTTGGTGGCTGGTTGTAATTCGATAACTTCATGAAGAGTTGGGGTACACGTAAATTAAGTACTAATAAAAAAAGACATTTGCAAACGAAACAACAATTGGCAAACTCATGAGCATCATCTATTCTGCTGTTGACGATGGTTGGGGTTTCACCCGTGACGATTTGGAGGTCAGAAAATACATTTTGCACACTTAGCTTGGTGTTCAAAATGTCTTTTACGGCCTGTTTTTCAAATCCACTTTTCAGAAAGTCTACCTCACTCGATGTGTTGCATGCCAGCCATGAGCATACCTAGTCTGGTCATATGTCTGGTCCATTCACAAATTATTACGGTAAGTATTAAAAAATAAACGTATCCTTAGAAAGTCAATGAAATTCGAGACGAGATAAGCTCTAGAGTTTTCCTTCTTTTGTTTGTTGCGACACAAGTAAGGGGCCGTCCATAAATTATGTATTTAATCCCAACGTATTTATTCAATTAGGCATTTATGTGCATTATTCAATTTGGAGGACGCATATTATTAGTCAAATAGCTTTTTGTATTGTAAATAGTTTTCTAAAATTGAAAGTTTTCTTATTTGTACTTTATGGAAATATAAAATATGAATATATAATATAATTTCCGAAACTCCCATAACAAAAGGTTCCACCCATCCACAAACTGCTCGCCATGCAGCACCATTGCTACGCCAACGAAGAAGTTGTAACACCATAAAAACAAGAGGATAATATGAACCATCAGAACTGGCAAGGGGGACAATTTGACGGATCCACACTCACAGAAAAATCGACACCCAACTGACACCAAGCCGGTGTCTATATATGACTCTACCGGATTGGTGTCAAATTGACACAACGTGGTGTCAATTAAGTTGCGCACCGCGCGGTGTCAACCCAACATGCCGTTATGACAATAGCAACACCGGAGTATTATAACGGGTTGTGCTCAGCTATGTTGTTGCAACACAATATTTTAATATGTGCACGTTACCGCTTGGTGACAAATCCTTCCCGGATGGTGACGGCTTAGCTAATAGGTCAGCTCTGCTTTGACATAATGAGGTAAAGGATTGGGACACATTTTAACAACGTTTTGTAACAAATTTTTTATTTCACACTAAATAATACCATATTTAGCACTTACAAATTAAAATATGTATTTAAAATCAGGAATATTCTATAGTTAACCAGGTAATATACCAACACAAATTCTATAATATTTTATGTACTACATAACTTATCTACACAAATCATACACTAATATATATATATGTACTATTAAATCAAAAATTAAATATGATGTCTTAAAGTAATAAACATCCCATCAGAACTGCAATTATGCATTAATTCGAAGCAATCATGTATTGGTAAATTATTTACATCGCATAAATGATATACATACCTCACCTATATTGTTGACTCTGTAACTAAAAAAATGACGATCGAAGTATTCTACATTTAACTGACGCAAAAGTAAATAACAGGTTGACTCATTTGTAAGCAAAAATTCAGAAATAATACAAAATTTTGGAAAAATAGATTTATGTCCAAAACAAACTACAAAGTTTAGCTTATAATTATAATTTTTGAACCATATCTGATTTGTGGTACAAATTTCCGTATCCACGTTACAGTCGCGGAACTGGTCACTATTTCGCAAAAGTTCAATAACGTCAAATGAATTTGAAAACTGATAAAGTTTCTGTAAAAATATGTTGTCTGCTTTTAGAGCAATCTGAGTTGAAAATTTTTTGAAGGCAACTGCAGAATATTGCTGATGACGCCAAGCAAGAGTGTGACAGATGTTTTTGAAATTTTTTGTATTATTTGCTAACTGTGCAAAATAGTTGTGCTTTCCCTCAAATCTCATCATCCAAAGAGAAATTAATGGACCACTTTGCCTGACAACGAAAGGATAATGACACATGAAATGATGTTTTGGGATTAAGCGACAATCAGGGAACAGTTCCTTAAATTTGCAATGATGCTGTACAATTAATGATTCTAATCTAATCAGAATAGCCTCAGAAAACTCACGACAAAAAACAATACTCATCACATCTAAAAGCAAAAGGATTAATTCCCACTGTTTTATAGCTTCGTCTGTGAAAATTAGATCCCCAATTATAATTGGCAAATGCCTAATAAGGCACCACGCTTGAGCTGCTTTTTGACCGATCCTATTCCCAGTATTATCTAACCTAATCGGACTTGGTTTATTTTTGGAGTCTAGATATCCAAAATCATACGAGATAAGCCTTTGATTAATAGTGTCCAAATCAAAACACTTTAAAGAAATTAACTTTTGAAGTACTAACTTGATCTCGTATTGCACGACGCCTTCCAATAGGTCATGCATGATATCCACAGAAGGTGAATCAAGAAATTTGAAATATTTCAAGTCGTTAAAAATACAAGGTCTCTGTACCCCATTTGTTTTTCTTTGGAGATCAAGAGAATAATTTTCTGCGTTTCTGATTTTCATTTTCTCGTGCTGGAAAATAGTTTGAGCCTCTTCTTTGCTTGTGCAACAAATTCTGCAGTAATTATTGGCATTGAATGACTCATGAAATCCCAAAATTGCATTGCCTCCTAAATTATCAAAAACGATGGTACTAACTGTTCCAAATAGTTTTTCCATCCCTAATGTTTTAATACCCTCATTTTCAAGAATTTTAATGTCTGAAATAATTAAGCTAAGAATGGAATTAAGGCCGTATTTTTTCGCATCCTCGGAGTAAAATAAAGCTAACAAGTGTATTTGACTTAGTTGAGAATTGACAAAGTCAGGAGAATTTCGTAGCACAAAATATAGAGCCCCAATTTTATGAACTCCCCGTTTAGACCCAAGCGGATTAACCGTTTCAAAATCGTCATAAAACAATTGTAATTGTAAAGAGTCTGGAAATTTCGAAAATAATTCGTTGGATTTAAATGACTTTGAATGAGAATAACACGCGTAAGTTTTTGAAGTATGTTCATGAAAGTTTAAATACCTGGAATATTCCGGAAGTTTTACAATTTTTTCTAATGTTTTTAGCAGAGGTACATACATAAATGTGTCCTCAACCAATACTTGCTGCCTTTTGTTATTATTAACCCTTAATTCCACCCTGCTTCCTAATGTTAGTTCCCTTGGCGAGACAAATTGATCTTCCTTCAGCAAAAGCTTTTGTCTATGATATCCTGATTTTATTTCATCAAACGATTTAAGTAGGCTAATTGTCTGTGAATAAAATTTCTCAAATTCATTTGGGCAGAAAGGTTTCTCTAATTTGAGAATAATATTGAAGATATCATTCATTGAATATCTAAGTTCTCTCACAACGTAATCTACTGTAGAATTTGTTACACCTGTAGCAAGTAAAGAGGAACAAAAGTTAGACAACAATTCAGTAATTAATTTAATTCCTAGATCCACTGACATATTTTCCAGAGCAGAAGGGCATTGCTCTGCTTTATCGGCGTCAAAAGTTTTAGATATCCCCTCAATATTTTCTAAGCTTACAGTATAATCAGATTTTGACTGGGAAATATTTTGCAAACTATTGCACTCATAAATTAAATTAACTACTGAATTATCATGAGATTTGATATGACGCAAGAATCCACTCCATGAGCTCAGCCCGGCACAACATGTTTGAAAAGGACAACTAATTATTTTAAAATTTACATAACTATAAGAATGAATATACTTCACGTGACTTATTAGCTCATCGCTACCTATGACCAACCTCAAACATTCCGGACAGTTAAACATTTTTTTGCGGTTGATTGATTCCCCGGTTGAGCTGGTTGAAGACTTGCTTAACTTTCATGGGGAGATTTGGTTCTTCAGGGTCCAACTTAAAGATGTACACTTGAATAAACTTCCACAATCCCCGCAAGCTCACGTCATATTCAGTTCCAAATACATAGTGCGATTTGAACAAGGAATCGATGGCTTCGGTGGAGTTCCTTGCGGCAAGTGGAAGGAGTAGGCGGTCACAGATAATAAAAAAATTGTCCAAGCTGTTTTTGTCACTTCCGAGACATAGGAGATTTGGCTGTTTTACATCCCCTTTCCACGTGTCCAAAATAGACGTGTCCAATCGTAGATTGCAGCGGCGTGCCTTCCTGCAAGAGAAAATGTGCAATATGAAAATACAGATTTATGAAAATAACAAAATGTATGACATAACTGAGTATTGCCTTGTAATAAGTTACTGGTCTTGTTTTGGCATCCTCAATATTGCACCGGTTCCCCTTTGCCTTTCATTGTGCGGTAGGGGGAATTAAATGAAGCAGCGTAAACAGAGCCCCGATTGCTTCATCCCATTCGCCTGAATAAAATTAATTTAATCAACTTACACAATTTTAATTAATATTATGTAATCATGAATTTATTTTGTACCGCAATTTTCAGTAAGAAATTTTAAGAGAGCCGGAGATTTGTTAATATACTTTGCCTCCTGGAGGATTTGTTTCGTCCAAATTTGCCACGAATTCAGAAAATTATTCTCCTCTTCCGGGTACAACTGTGAGAATTCGAAGTTAATCTAAGAAAAAAATGTCAGTATATTTGATTAGTTGAGTTGGTTTAAAAATTAGTTTTATGTATTATAAATATCACCATTAAATTCTATTCCTGAAATTTCCTATATAACCTTAAAATGGATGGGTCACTCGTCCGTCTCAAATAGTTGCGATGAGAAAATGTTTCGAGGGTCAGGCGTTTCAATTCGCCTTCGTCCTTCAGAGTGGTGGAATTTAATTGGGCAATCAAATCCACATTTTCATCGCTGGATTCCTCGAGGCTTGGCTTAGGAAATTTCGGCTTTGGTCCAGTATTCGACGTTGGCTGTACGCGTTTGGGTGGCTTGGTCCCTTTTAAATTTCGATGAATTGACCGTAGGCGTGATTGGATCAGTCCGGACCGGTTTATCTCGTCATAAAGTATGTCCTATGAAAAAAGTTAACATTAAGTTTGTAAATTTAAAAAAAATGTATAATTTTCCCATACAATTCCATTCTCTGAGGCCGAATATTTCCAACAAGGGATTATGGAAATTATTCCGAGTTCAAGTAATTTTTGATCAGCAGTAGACGGCGACTCACTGAAATTTAATGAAGAAACTACATGTAATATGTGTAATAAGAGCAGCCTGATGAGCCTTATGCATACATATATAAACGACTATCTAATGTTAAAGAACATATTGTAATTAACCTAGTAATGCCTTAAAATTTGCCAAACCCTTTCAGTTCAATTAACTTTGCGACAAAGGACTTAATCAGAACGGAAGAAGTTGCGCTGTCGACAAATCCTTTATCGTTGCAATCGCGGACCAATCGGTTTAGCTCGAGGTCGTTTTGCACCATAGACTCCAAGATCTAAGAAAAACTTATATAAAATAGTACTTAATTTATTGAAACTTATAATCGCATTCTTTACCTGGGTAAATTGGGGACTTTGTGGCACTGCTTTAATAGGTGACAGCACTGGCAATGAATTCCCGTGTTTAGTTGAGTTTTCAGCTGGAAATGTAGAAAGTTTTTAAGGCCAAGGATCTAATGCTATAGGTAAATATGTAGCTGCAGAAAAATTAAAGATGACAATTACAATATACTAATGATGAGCTCGGCGCAAATGAATAATCCAAGGACAATTCAGCTTGCTCCTCCCCTTTGATGATGAACTCTATATTAGGGGTGGCCGGCTGTTCCAATAAAATTGGGAAGACTTGTTCATCAATCTCGGCCCCCTCGTGATCTTGAAGACAGATCTCGGCGTCAGGTCCAATATCGAATTTTATTTTCACTGAAACGAATAAATTTAGTATAAAAATGCACGGAGTAAAATAATTTTAACCTTATACATAAATTAATATAATATTAACCTGTTATATACCTGATTCAATAAATTGATAATAGTCCCCACTACAAACAATTAATTTTTTTCCCCGCAGTGAATTAGAGACACGGGTCAATTTATCCATTTTTGTTAATCTTTTTTGTCAAGAAAGAAAATAATAACGGCCAAACCGAACCGTGCGTTGCGAAGAAAGACTGACACAATCCAGTGTTGATTTAGAATTTTAGCTCCCGCGTTAACATTGGGCTGTGTCCATTCTTTACCGGATTTTTACTCGGTCTCACCATTGAAGAAACATCGCTGTTACTTGTACGGTGTCAGCACATATTTTTTTTCAGTGTCATTTTTCAACAACATTCTGACACCATTTAATGGATTTGACGTTGACACCGACGGTTGGTGTCAACGAAATCTGGAGTTTTGTTACCAAGTTGCTAAGAGTGTACATATTTAATATAATGGAAATATAAAATATATAATACATACTAATATTTTTATTATTAAAAGTTGGTGACATGTTTTTGTAGAATATTGTTAACACATGATATTATTTCTGGAACCCTTATTTCTCGTGGGGAATTTGGGGAACTTAAATAAATATGACTGGGTAGCGTGGTGATGGTTCACTTTTCATACAACGAATATTGCTACTTCCAGCATCAAATATATTTAAACTAGCCTATAAGCCCGTCTTAAAGACGGTCCACATCAAGTTTTAAATCAACACACCAAAATCATTAGATGAAAGCACCACATAACTTGGGCGATGTACTAATTATAACCAAATTATAATTTGAGGTTAAAAAACATCTACATGTATTAAAACATCGAAGAGGCTGTTTCGTGAGACTTTCCACGACATTCCTTCATTCAGATTGGATTGGATTGGATTGTGATGCGGTTGTCACTTTCCTTAGGAATTCTTTCAAAGTAGTTAAGGAATTTTTTAACATTACTAAGGAATTTTGTTAACGTTGCGAATAATTTTTTTTAACGTTGCTAGGGAATTTTTTTAACGTTGCTAAGGAATTTTTTAACCTTGCCAAGAATTTCTTAACATTGCCAAGGATTTTTTTTAACGCTGCTAAGCAATTTTTTTTATGTTGCTAAAAATTTTTTTATGTCGCCAAGGGAATTTTTACTCGAAGGAATTTTTATTTCATAGTATAAGTTGTATCGCGGAGTATGTGTGTGAAAAAATTTGTAGAGAATTTTTGAACGTTGCTAAGGAATTTTTTTAACGTTTCTAAGGAATTTTTTTAACGTTGCTAAGGAATTTTTTAACGTTGCTAAGGAATTTTTTTGACGCTGCTAAGGATTTTTTTTTACTTTGTTAACGAATTTCCTTAAGGTTGCTGAAAAATTTTTTTTACGCCCCTTGGGAAATTTTGTAGGTTGCTCAGAATTTTTTAACGTTTTTTTAACGTAATAAGCGATTTTTTTAATTTGCTAAGAATTTTTTCCTGGTTGCCCATAACCAAACTCATAACCGAAATCATAACCGAAATCATAACCGAAATCATAACCGAAATTATAACCGAAATGATAACCCAAATGATAACAGAAATCATAACCGAAATCATAACCGGAATCATAACCGAAATCATAACCGAAATCATAACCGAAATCATAACCGAAATTATAACCGAAATGATAACCCAAATCATAACAGAAATCATAACCGAAATCATAACCGAAATCATAACCGAAATCATAACCGGAATCTGTGAAGAGGTGATCTTTGCCAAATCCTTATTGAAAAACTGGTTCTTTAGATCTGCAACTCTCACTATCTCCTCTTCGTAGTTGTGTTAGTGATCAATGATCACTATGTCAAAAAGGCAACTCTTATAATTCTTACAACTCTTACCACCCAATAACCGGTTAGACATATAAGTAGACTAAATAGGTATACGTATGGTATATAAGTAAGAACAAGAGTGACCATCGACAGCGAGTCGACTGCCTGTATCTTGATACGTGCAATAAAACCTGTCCTGACTTTGTCTCACCAAATCTCACCTTGCCTCCAAGACGCAATTTATTTCCATCTACAACAACGACAACGATCGTCTCATCTGCCTCACCACCACCATAAACGCAGTGAACCCCCCCCCATAAACGGAACTTCACATTGGTACCCACGGCGGCCTCTCCTTGTCAGAAGGAGAGAAGGACGCCGCACCCCCTCTCTCAAAATCGCCCCATCTTCACGACTGCAGTGTAACGAAGTGTCATCACTACAAAACGCGCCATTCCCTCTCTATCCCCCATCTTCACGACGTCGGTGTGACAGACCACCAAGGTAAGTAAAAAAAAAAAAAAAAATTTTCCATGACTTTTTACCCACCCCCCCCCCCCCACACTCTCCCCCCTTCACCATTTTACACGATCCACCATTGGTCGGTACTCCGTCGATATTTTACGGAAAAAAAATATTTTGAGTTCCCACCACCGACCATACGTCCACAATTCCCTAGAATCACGTACCTGTCAGAACTAAAAAGGACGGGGAGAAGTTTGGGGAACACTTCTTGCCCATAGGGGCCCCTACATTTCAAGTACACATAGAAGACTTTATGAATTTATTTCCCTTGACTGCGGAGACAGCAAGGACGAGGTCGTTTTTCAGTCCTTTTTGCACCTAGTAGGCCACAGTAGCCATTTTTTTTTCTCGCCATTAAGCGTATTTTTCTAATTATCGGTTCACGCTCCGAGGGGCGCCGATATATTTTGAAAATCATTTACCCTGTGACAGTAAGTCGTACGCACCCCGTTGTTCTCTCCAGCCGTTAGGGCATCCTCCGTTTCATTTAGCGTGTTGGTAGTTATAGCTCTTTTTTCCCATACCTGACACACAGCACTTTGTAATAAGAGAGAGCGGCAGCTCGTTCAACTCGACCGCATTAAGGATAATTTCATTTCTCGACATCGATATTACACATCCAAACCACTAACCCCACATCGGCCTCCCCGAATCCTCGTTCTCCTCCTACTTACCGGTTACATATAACCACATACGATCCACATTTTCATCCGGCACGCCCACTAGACCCATATTTTTCGGCGGACGAGTCGGCCTTACATCTCAATTAACCGCAGCATCATCTCACACTCTTGGTCCTCATAATTTTGGTGCCACGTCAATTGGCCAATCTCTCCCATCATCGAGGAACTTTCCAATTTCACCAACTCGACCCCAAATCGAGGTTGTTCCGCATACTTGTGGTGCCACGTCACTTGGCCAATCTCTCCAACCTGCCACCCCCTTTCCAATTTCAACATCTCCACCTCAAAACCAGGTTGTTGCTCCACACCACGATATCACTTTGAGTCCAAGACGTTCACCCCAACCAGAAACTGCTTCTCCTTCATCACCTCTCTCTTCTGACCCCGATAGCTAAAATCCAGTTTCGAGTGCAAATCAACTACCTGCAGCATCCATCCCTGCGAATTTTTATCTCAAAACTAGTATCTTGCCTCCGGCTACTTTCTATCCTCAACCAAACGCCAGCCCCCAACGTCTTCCACCAGCCACCACCGTAGTCTACGAAACCCCCTGCACAACGACTCCGTGCCCATCAACCCCTCAATCCTTATTGGTACCACAACATTTTTTACTCCCCCTCCCAGCAGTGGTTGAGACCCTGCCCAAAACACCCTTCCGCTCTTCAACCACCACCAATTTTTCCTTTCATTATTACATCACCCACTCTTTTCCAAATGGGGACAACTATCAACGACATCACCATCTCTCCAGGATGTTCACCCCCGACAGACACTAACTCTCCTCTTTCTTTATCACAAGTCTGTCCTAATACGGAGTTGGAACCTTTACCAACCCCCGCGGCACCCCTCCCTGCTAACATTTTTGTGCCACCTCACATTCTACCTTCCTTCCAACCTGTACCTCCACACCATACCAACGCATTCTATCGACCACCTTTCCCTCCCTCGCATATCTCGACCATTGATGGCGACTTCTGCGCCTGCCCACCACACATCTCTCACATCGACAATTTGACGGGGTGGCCCACACCCGCTACATCTTCTTCCTACGATGCAGTTTTTGCCCACCTCATTCAAGCCTTAAGGTTTACTTCCATTCAAGAATGTAATGCACACCCCCCATTCGTCAATCCCCGATCGACCAACGACCCGCACTTCGTCTCTCTCTTAGCCCAACAACTTCCCTCCCAATTACAACAAGGGATTGGTACATCCGACATGAGGCCTCATGTAGTCTCTGCAGGTTCAGATTCTATTCATATGTTAGATGCACCTCGCCCTCGTTCGTCGGGTCAGCTCATGACCTTCCCAGATTCCCCACCCACGGGTGGTTTCAGGCACAATAACTACCAACAGCGCACCTCCCAGGGTAACCGTAACCATAGGGGTAGATCTTCGTATTTCATCAACCGTGGTGGCGGTTTCTCTACCCGCCAGAATGTACATAGCCAATTCCACATCACAGCACCTTTGAATCACTGGCAATCCAGGAATACAGAATTCCGAGGCACACATCCCATACAGGATGGTGACGGCCGTAATTTTGGTGGAGGTGGGAGAGTCCATTCTCGACGACGCTACAACCCCAATACTAACCGACCTCGTAGTGAAAATCACTCGTTGTATTCTCCCCCTAACGCACACCCCCGCCAATCACGTTCTAACTCATTGCCTATACACACTAACTACAATCCAAATCGCTCCTCCTCACATATCCCAAATACCCGGCGACCAGATCTATTAACTCGACCTAATCAACCTACCAACCTCTCCCGACCACTTTCCAATTCTAACCCTCTACCTTCTTCACCTAGCCAACGCCTCGCCCCCCACACCGCCGGTGGCAACATTCCTTTTCCTTCATGCCCCGATTGCGTCGCCTCACGACACACGAATTTCTCTATCCCACATACTTTTAAACCAGGCAGCGTTTGACCAACCTCTGCCCCTCGGCAACGTTCTCAATTAGATCACCATATTACACTAGCTGTATTAATTATATAGGTATCACCGCGAATCCAGGATGGTCCCCTTGACTATCCCCGTAATACAATAGTAATAAATAGTAATACTTACCGGTCACCCAGATAGCTGTATTAATTATATACGTATCACGTATATACGTATACACGTATACACGTATATACGTATCAGGGCGAACCTAGGATGGTCCCCTTGACTATACCCATTAATACAATAGTAATAAATAGTAATACTTACCGGTCACCCAGATATATATATATATACGCATTATAAAACCCACCCATAGGATTTACAAAAACAAAAATCCACAAGAGAATTCTTTCTCCTGTGTATTTTTTTGCGCTTTTCCATAGGTGATTTTCGATATCTAGGATTACGTAGACATCCCACATTCTTTTGTACCACATAACTATTACTTAGAAGCG